AGATTTTTCGAACTGTTTTGTAAGCATTCTGACCTGAACGGAGGGTGACTCAAACTAGTTGTCGAAAATGGATTTCTTTCCTCTTTGGTTTTCCAAACTTGATGCTGGAAAACTTTTGAATTATATTGATGTGAGAAACTGAAGTGAAGATTTTGATCTCATGTCATCTCCTAGAGCAGACTTAGAGCTTTCAAATGCATATATACATTTTGCAAAACACAGTGCAAAATGTTGTGAAGAAATCAAAAGAAAAAATGGGACAGAACTTGTTACACAACCTAATATATTCATAATCTTATCTTTCTGGAGTCTTACAAACGATTCCTCGTAGTCGAATTATTCTTCCATCACTCTCACGATTCGTAATCGCGACGCATCATACTGGAGAGAATATTCTTCTGCACTCATTTTTCTTGGATACTGTAAGATTTTTGGAGAATGGAGATTCTCATGAAGAGAACCAAGACGAATTTTTTTAAGGCCATTCCTTTCTTTTCTATAGTTTTTTGAAGAGTCTTTTCATGTCATCTCTTATGACAGCAAAGAATGATTTGAATGTTTCGAAACATTGTAAAATTGGCAAAAAAATATAGAAGTATCTTTTTTGTTGTAATATCTATAGATCTGAAGCTGCTTTTTTACAATCATGTGAAATTCAGCGCCCAGGCTTTTACCTCCATATGCTTCGCTTAAAACGAAAAAATGGAGTACAATTTTGTAAATACAATGAATTATGGCAGCTCGTGATATTTGCGTCGCATCGCCACATCTCGTATTTCCTCGGTTTTTTTACGCTGTTTCCTTTCTCTTTCGCTTCCACTGGTCGCTTTGGACAACATTGTTTATGACTACGTTTACTAACATGGTTCAGTGTCGATGCTCTTGTTACATCCTTTGAGCCCTTTGGTTAATTGACCTATCAATTCCACCCTTTGTTGGTATAATTTTCTGTTTACGATTTATTCGGTGCGAACGTAGCGATTCAGGACATCTGCTTTCGCTTCGATCTTACTAAGGTGTATCTAAAACTAAACTATTGATTGGTGAATGGCACTGTTTGATCGTTAATAACTCTCTTGCTCCCACGTCTTTTGCCGAGTACGAGATACCCTTCTAGAAAGCGATCAATTTAGATTTACATTATGGAGCTAACCACTAACCACCATTCGCTGTCATTACTGTAGGATAAGTTATGTATTTTCAGCCTACAGTCTCAGGGTGAATAAAACTCAAGACTAAATAAAACTCCGAAAAATCTGGAAATCTGTGTAGCAAGTTTTTTAAGTGTGCTGATCTCACTAGACAACTTCTTACCGGTTTTTCGAACTTTTTAGTGGTGTAATTGCATTTCTAAACACTAGAAGAACGACTTACGGTTTGTAACCTAAACCGGAGAAAATTTATGAAGAAAGCATTACAGTGAAATGCAAAATTCATATTCAAAATGAGCGACTTCGAATAGCCCAGCAAAAGTTTCTGGTTTGTTTGGTTTCCTTTTTGAGGCATATCGCTTACAGTGGCCTTAAAGGCACCGTCCACCCTAAATTACAATTCTTGAGCTTTTGGCAGCTTATGATTGTCACACCCTCTATCAAGCCAATGCCCAAGTCGCTGCGCAAATTCTCGCTTCGGAAGCGAGAAAATCGCTTCGAGATAGCGAAGATGCATGAGGCTTTAAGTTGGCACCACCACCCCCTTCAGTAATGCCCGCCCATTCGTGCGCGCCCATCAATCATTTGCAGCCGGTCTGCGGAATCTCCGTAACGGGGATTTCGGCATTTTTACGGATTTTCGACTTCATTCTCGGAATCAAGGACATGAGAAGGCCCGGAACGATCAAAACATAAAAGTCGAGAATCTGGGTGGATGGTGCCTTTGAAGCCTCTTTCCCACCTTAATCCTACAGTAACGAAGAAAGATCGGAGATTCCCTTTGCAGTGAAGCTCAAGCAGGGGAGTTACTGACGGTCAAACAGTGTGCACATCTTTTTGGAACACCCTTGCTTAATGGAAATTTTCGTCTTGAACAGAACGAATCCCATTAAAAAACATTTTACGAAAATCTCAACTTTTTATAGATACACTAGTACCCTTTAACGCACTACTCAGTTACAATAACAAGCAAACCCAAATCAAAGTTACCATCAGAAAGTGTTAAGGTTATTAGCGTTTGGCTACCGATTCAAGAAGGACATGTGTCTTTACCAGGTTTTATTATCTCGTTCTAATAATAACAATTTTTTTCTCTGACCGATACTGACCGAGAATTTGAGTAGGCTTGAAGATTCTCAAAGCATTTCCATGCGAGACTCATGTTCCATAATTTCAATATTCTTCCACTGTTTGATTCTTTCAGAGTTTTGAATTTTATCTTATTTTCATTTTCTACTTTATCTATCTTCTATCTCTTTTTTATCTCCTATCCATAGTGTGAAATCGGGTAGAGGCAGAACTGCATCAAAGCTGAAAGAAGCTAAAAAATTGATATAATCAGCAGTCTCTTAGAGGAGCAATGAAGCGCTTCATCTATGCGTAATCACGTCATATCTCATTATCTTTCAGTCTGCATAATGTCTGAAAAGCACATCTGCAAGGTCTATGACGCATATGGGATGTGGCACGGACCATTTTATTTTCTTCTTGGTTCTGCCCTTATATTCACAAAAAAACCCTACGTCTACTCCTCAACTGTTAGACTATCCCAGAATTTCTTTCCGATTTGGACAAAATCATATCCTTTTTCTTTTCGGTAGGATCTCGTTATTTTTTGACGAAGTGAAGCGAGCTCTTCGATTGCACTCACATCGTAGTCCACATAATATAGGAGCCCCAATCTGAATGTATTTGATCGAACCAAAATTGGATCTTCAGAAGTTTGCGAACCTCCCACTTATGAGCATAACAAAAACATACATGTTCATGAGTGTCCGTGTGGCCACAAATCAAAAGAATAAGTAATTTTATAAAACGACAATCTCCTTCTTCAGAGTTTAACAGTAACATAACTTTATGATCCACTGATATGCTCATAGTCATAGTTAGGTACGCTGGATCCACAACCTGAGCTACTTCAGAAGCTCCTACGTTCAGAAGTGCAACCATAAATTCACTTTCTTAGAACTGCGTCACGTTTATGTTGACGTACAATGTAATTTATAAATTGTAGTGCTAGAAATACCAATTTGCTTAGAGCTGGCAAAAAAGTGTTGAACACAAGTATATAATTAGTGCCTACTACAAAGTATGGTTTCATTTTGTAGTGCTGCGCTATATTTATCTCTGCAATTTGCAGAATAACGACAAAATAAATCTGAATGATGTGACTTGCAATATTTATAGATAATAATAAGCCAAGTAAAATTGGCTATGATTAGGATGGATATGCAACTTTGAGTTTTTTACTCATCTTCAGTTACAAAACAATCACAAAGACTCGTTGCAGTTCTTTCACTTACATTTCCTTCCCTTACCCTGCTTTCACCAATTGCTCTAACTCTCTACTATTTACTGCATAAAGATGGGAAACATCCGTTGAGCGGAAAAGTTGAATAAAGTTTTTAGACAGTGAGTGTTGATTTATCATCAGAAAATAGTTTGCAATAGTGGCAGTAGCAGGTTAGATTGTAACATGAGTTTTGTCACACTTGAAGGAAAAAATCTTCATGACTTTCTTTAAAGATCTTTTCTCATCTCCACATTGAGTGGAGAGCTGTAACTTTTCAATATATGCAAGCCACACATAGAAAATCCAATTTTTGAATTTTTTTAAAATTTCTTGCATTATTTTTGGCAAATTTCCAAGGCAAAAGAAAAACGAAGATTTGATTGCTGTCACAAAATCGCCTTTATATTTCTGTAACCCGTACCTGTAAAGGTGGATATGATGCCAATAGATACTTCTTTGTTCACTGCTCATAGGTGCCAAATACTAGACTTTGTCAAAGTTTTTAGAGTTTTTCACAAGAAAATGAAAAAAGTGCCTCAAAACTTATGTTACAACCTAATATGTTATCAATGGGCGATACGATTCTATCTTTGGCAAGAGTGCGCGATGGGCTTCATCAGTTTCTAATAAAATTCGTTTCATTCACTGAATGTTGTATAATTGACGAGAGCATTATTTCGCTTCTATTTTTCCACTTCTTGGTGCACTTATGTTTGGAGAATCAAACATAATGCGTTTGAAACTAGCAACCCGGTATCGTTGTTTAAAAAATTTGCTGAAGAGCTCTTTCTCCGTTTTTCGGATATAGGAATGAGGACATATTGAGTAGCTGACAGAAGGTCATATATTTCTATTACAATACGAGTATATGAAAATACAGAAGTAGAGAAAGCAAGATAGTACCTACTTGCTTCACAGGTTCCACAGTATTTGTACTCTAATTTCACGAGAAGAGCACCTGTATTTTTTCTGAACTCGACCATCCTGAGCAAATCAAAAGATTTCGCATTTAAAGGACCCTCTACCGCGCTGCTTCTTACCTGGAAGAGTTGTGTGGAAGAGCCACCAATTCGCGAAGCACAATGGTGTGGCCGAGCTACTTGCTAAAATGAAAAAGGTGTCTTGTACTCGTGAAATAGGGTATTTGAAATCGGATTTGATTTAAAAGCTGCTTTATTCTCCACGTCTGCTTCTTTATGAATTCTGTCCGCTGAAGAAAAAATAATTATTTGTCACTACTTATTGTCTCATTATTCGCTCAATGTGGTGACTAAGAAAAAATACTAGCTGTTGTTTCTAACAAAATTCATCAAGATATATCTGATGTCACGTCTTCGATAAACATTTTGATCTATGAAACTTATTTTACAGCAATGCTATCTCTAGCTTTTTTGATTTCGACTTTCGTTTTGATTTCCATCTCACTCATTGTGGATCCCTTCTCTTTTATCTCGTAAGTCAAGATTATAAGGTATCATTTTTCCTCAGTTTCATTTCCGTCTAAACCGCAAGCGATCGCGCTTCGAAGTCATAAAGCTAATGAATGCAGCAAATTCAGAGAATGGATGCGGGCACCCAGTGGGTAATCGCGGGTCTGGTGCTGCTCCTAATCCTATTGGTTGTGCTGCTGTTCTCAAAAACGCCGTTCCTGAGTTTATTCATCGCCGAGCAGGGATGGGAGAAATTGGACGAGAACAGCGGCATCCTCGAGCACTCCAGCTCGCTCTCGCGGATTCCACTTCGCGCCAAGCAGCCCTACGACAAGGCGGCCGCCTTCTGCTACAGTAATCCGGTCGATGGATTCATCAAGATGAGCTACGGGATTCACGTGAGTTGTGATTTGTTCAGGGAAGTACTTCTAATTGGAGGGTAAGGGACAAGTTAGATAACCGACATGCAGATGGTCAGTGAAATGAAGGGCAACTTTATAACGTCCATTTCCTCGGAAGAAAGGCAGCAATGGCTACAACTAAAATTCCAAAAAAGTTTTTTTGATTTGTATCCCATTTGGTAATAGTAGCTTTTCTTACTATGTGACAGGTTATATCAGGTAAGCAAAGATCATTTAAAAAAGAAGTTTTACCTTCCATTCTCAAGGAGTTCGGTCAAATCACGTCAAAACACACTACTGTCACTCGATAGCTGTTAAAGAAATGTCTGAAAACATGCTCCGCCAATGAATTTTTTTACGGAGGGACCAGAGTTTGCCAAGCCCTCCAAAAAATAGGGAGGCTTTGCAAATTTTTTGGGCTGTTTTCAGCTCCATAATCCCTTAAAGGGTGCTTCAACACATTGCGGAAAATAATTTTAAAGGCCATTTCAATGTTTAAGATATTAGAAATAATTTTATCTACTTTATGAAGCAAGGTACTTGCATGATTTTATAACTTATACACTACTCTAAATTCATGACCTTTTCTTGGGAAAGGAGTGGGTTGTGAGAAGGGGTATATTTTTATCTCAAAGCTGTTAATCATCCTAAGCACTTACCACTATCGTCAATATATCTGCTTACGCTATTTACTTTAGGACGAGAAGGATCCAAAGCAATATCTTGTCCCTTGCGAGGAGATCCAACATCAACTCGTAGTAGAAAACAATCCAGACGTGCATCTCACACCGGAGCGACGGATATCAGGTAAACAAATTCGTCTTTCTTACTGAAACTAAAACGTTGACAAGGATTTAACAGTTTGGATTTTTGGATTTGCTAGTTGCTGTTTTGACACAAGTTTTCCAAAATGTTTTCAAACTCTGAAGAACTATGTACACGTAACTGAACTATCTTTAATGACTTGCTTTCTTAGTAATCCATTCCTCACATAAATGCAGTCATTTCAATGCTTTTTCTGGTGAAAAACTCTACTGCTGAGTCGAATACAATTCGTTTATTATTTTCTATTTCGGGTATTTCGTTGAGCTTGATAAACGGAATACAAATTTTCTTCCATACGTTTGCGAGGATATTATTGTCTCTGGCATGACGTTGCCAAAATGGAAGGAAATTTGTTGCTGAATCATGAAAGAGGGAAGGGAGGGGAATATACAACATTTGATTCCATTTCGTTAAAGTGCTACTGTCGAACACGGAGCAACAGGAACTGCATGGAATATTTGCCCTTCTTCACCGGAAAGACCTCAGTTTTCGCGAACTTTTCGTCTAGCTGCTTATCTGCACAAAAATGGAAGCTATGTTTTCTGGAGAAACCTCTGTCTAAACAAGTTTGGCTCAGCCTCATTTATCTAATTTTCATTATTCCAATCCCTCTCGAAGGAGAGGCTTGATAGAATTTCAAAGAATGCTCTCTTCCCACAAGGTTAGCTTATGGTCTCTAGCATAAGTCAACAATGTCTATGCTTTTGCTCTTATGAACTAACCTACTCAGGGTATTAAGGCGAGCAGCGTTTTTTTCTTTTCCGATACTTGTATGTCTTGCAACTTACATTATATAGTTGAATATTGTATAAGATACACTCGAGGCATGTCGAAGAGTGGAGAATAAGCTGAAGTGGCACAGCTGTAAGAGCTTCGGGTATTTTTTTCTACAAAATTGAATTGGTTTCTTATCGAGAGCCTCATAAAAGCACACAAATGCGATGGATGCGATATGGGAAGAAAAGAACTACCTGCTGGCCGAGAAGTGGAATAAGTAAACCACCTCGGTCCTGTTCATAGGTCTGCTCATTTTGATGGTAAGATAACCTTTATAAGACTATCTACAGGTTAACCCTAAATTAAATAACCATTATCTCCGTAAAGGCTGCGATAAATATGTAAACAAAAAAATAGAAAATTCAGCAAAAAGAAGCGTTCAATGGCACAACATGTAATGATTTTCATATAAATAGTAAATCGCTCTTCATTCTAAAAGCTATCTAGATAGCTATGCTGAAGCGACCATAACCGAAAGACTTTGCGAGCTTTTCATCCAACATATTCGTATATCTTAGAATTGAAGGATGATATAACAACAATATAAAACACTAACAACACCAATGCCAATATATCAGTAAATTATGAAATGAACTCAAAATATGTCATTAACACTATATTATTTGAATTCATTGAACCAATGCAAATTATGTTATCAACTAAACCAAAACAAAACTAATACTGTAATGCTGGTAGCTGCCTTTTACACTTGAATCCAACTTCTTTAGATGGGAACTTCAATCGTAAACATATTTTGAAGTGTTAAATTGCTCGTCATAGGAATAGCCGTATTAAAAACGCTCCTCAAGTAAAGTGTTACATAGCAATACTTTATTTTCAATCTGAGTATTTTTCTTTGGAAATCCATTTTCAGACGAACAGGTCCACTGTACTGATGGTCAGTTGCGAAGGTGTATATCTACCGACAGTGTTGACAGTGCCGCTTCCTCAATCATAGAAGTGAATCGCGATGTGCCAATGGCGAACATGACCCTCAAATATGACGAGTCAGTTATCTTTTTCACTCCACAAACTTTACATCAAGTGCTTAGTTCAGAGCCACACAAATGCTTTCCGTGCAATTACACCACTTGTCAGACGTGTACTCAGACTATGGACAGATATGGTTGCTGTTCTTTTTGCTTCCACATCCAAAGCCATTGTGGAGAACCGAGGTGAAGGCGTATAAATCAACTTGAGAATAAAGCAAAAATGTCATCGACAACCTCCAGTTAAACGTTTGATTTTATGGGAGTCAGTTTAACTACCAGATGTATGTCTTATTACCCTATTTTCCGGCTTATAAACCGCACTTATATATGCCGCACCCGCCGCAGCGAACAGTAGCGCGAAAACCTTAGAAAAGAGTTCTATCAAAGTGGAAGTCGGTGCGTTTCGTGAGTCTTCTTCAGTGCAAATGATCATGTCTTCAGTTTTTTTATTCATTCCTTTCGATGCGTAATCTGATGTTGGTATCGCAGGTGGGAGGTAGTCCCACATATTCTCAAATCGAAAGCATCGGTTATGCTGCCGAGAATGGAACCGGCCGGTTTGTACATTTCGTCGTCGACCGGATGACAAAGATGGCGAAGTGAATAGGAGAAGCTCATAAAATGCGACAATACCAGAAAGCGTTTAGAAGACTCCCAGCAGATGGTCAGCATTAATAGAAGAGTTGAGGGGATGACTTAATGGGCAGCGAGAGTAATGAACAAGAGTTGAAACCGTAGCGATGAATGAGAAGATAAAGATTTTTGTTACAAACATGCAATCGAGAAGAAACCAAGGAAGAACGAAAGCAGAAAGTTAGTAATGGGCTACTAGATGAGACGGACAGTAGTTGGCTGCTTGTGCGGCTTCGCGCATCGCGAAAGGCACCGAACTTCAGGCCGCTCGCGATGAAAAGAAATGCGCCTTATACGCTGGAAAATATGGTAATCTAAAACTAGATCAGAGAATAATTACATGCATTCGTACACATGAACACTGGATATCAATCCTTTCTTGTTTAAACACTTTATAAAACAATGTACCCTACTCATCACTGTATTTATTCATTCTTGAGGTTTGAAGCAAGCGTTAAAAACTAAATACCGTACTTAATTGACTTCTAAATCAGTTGAACCGGTTTATGTAAACTAACATGTGATGCAAACGAGGTATCGAAAGATTTTGCTCCGCAGGGTAGGACATCTCGGCCACCTCATGTTGACGTAATCATTGAAAATTTAGGCTCGTTCCACACCGTCTTCCTTCATCGACTACAGCAGCGTCTATCAACAGTGCGTGCGAAAATGTGACTTACATAAGGTTAGTCTTTACCCCTAAATGGAGAGGCACGTTTTGTCTGAGAGAAATAGATGCACGGGCGCAGATGTCTAATGTGCGAAAATAAATGAAGGAAGCAGAGGAAGATTGATGAAATCAGCTAATCTCAAGGAGCAGATTCAGAGAAATGCTTCGCGTCACTGGGATGATACTGTTACCAAGGGGAATTTCAATCAAACATAGTTTTTGTTGATATAATAAATATTACTGCTTTTCACTACCACCAAGAAATCTGAGGTACTTATCATTTGCTCTGGAGCTCGGTGATGGTTCCAGACAAGTGATAAGTACCCAGGTTTCTTGCTGGTAGTGAAAATTGCTCCATGACATCATAAAGGGAAATTTTTTTTACATCCGATTACAACAATGCTCATTTCTGAGCCACTCAATTATAGTAACCATTGAAACCAAAAATCAAGCTACCATTTTACTGCTACTGTGAACTTCTATTCATCTTCAGCCTTTAGATTGCACTTCTCGTCCAGCTTTACTCTAGTAGGAATCAATCCGCAAGCATCGTTGGTCAATCTAGGATCCGATTAAAGGTTGGTTGTACTTCAGACCAATCTTTAACCTTTTCTCTGATTTCCCTTTATAGGATTTATCTTTGACAAGTGGCGACGACGCGCCAGTAGAGTTAGCCCTTCAACCCAGCAAGTCCAAGGTTCGGAAGATTACGAATAGTTTCTACCTCATGCTTAGCACAGACGGAGAAATATTTTGCTTCTATGATGGTGAAAAATATATCAGTCTACTTAACGATTTTCTTTAGAGCCCAATCAACGACGTCCCATCGGTAAAGCTTGGCGAGATTCTTTTCCTCGCTGCTTTCTCTCAGGATCGCCTGACAGTTATTGTGTCAAAGATCAGAAATCTTGCGCCTATCTACCATAGTACGTTTCCAAGCATTTATCAATACTGCTTTGGTAATCAACGTTTCCAGCCGTGTTCATACGATTATATATTGTACAACCGATGGGACAAGTTACAAAGAAAAAGACTTCTGAGCGAGTTCTGGTGGACGGTGCAGCAGATATCGGTGAGAGCATGTTCTTCAGCGTGCCGAGGAGCAGAGTGCTGGTGAGTTAAAGGTCTACTTGGTAGTCCTTAAACTGAACAGATGTCTTTCTAGAAAAGCCATTTGCGGCTAAGCATAGTCTGTGGTACGGATACTGTGACGAAGAGCATAGGGCATGTTACGCTCGGACCTAAGTCTAGTGGAAAGGTAAGAGTCCATTTCATCAACAAAAAAATTTCGGCAATCGGCCTTCGAAACGAAATGGCCAGCGAGAGACTACAAATTTTACATACATGAATAATGAATGATAAATAACATAATAAATGAATAATGATAAATAATTTATGAATAACTATAAAATTCTACAAACGTTTCTGAAAACATTGAAAACTTTGTATGTGTTCAGAAATTAGTAACAAAATACTGAGAAAGCGACTGGTTCCCTTCTTGAAAGCATTCAAAATCCTATTCAATTTTTTTCATTATGGTTTATCGGTTCAGGACTGTGACTACTTTTGTTCGTTTACCAGAAAAGATAGTATTTAGATTCTACACAAAACCACAATATTTCATTACTTAAAAAGTTAGTTCAACTTTGAATCTTGGATGATTGTGGATAAAACTCTTAATCGACTTTGAACGTTCACAAGGTTTCCTTGCTTTTTCAAATTGTCCTACGTTCTGCTATTTCTTTTGAATTAACAAATAATTGAAATCCTCCTTCAAGGAACTCGGTCACTGGAAACGAGCCCTCAGTGGTGATGGTCCACCACTGGCGACATGGCATGCCGTTCGGCCACGAAGCACTGCCTGCTAGTCGCGTAGAGCCGGACTCGAGCAGCAACTCTTCCGCAAAACTCTTACGGATTGTAACATACGTCGGTCTTTAACTGTTTCATATGCCTGTTTTAACTCTTTGGAGTTCTGACTATTTGTTGTTTCCCGTGATTCTGTTGACCAAAGGCTTCTTGTTTGCTTTTATGCACTTTGATGAACATTTTATTGCTGTCGTACAGAGATGGTAAACTTGCATGAAGCCTATCACATTTGAAGTACTGCAATTCGCTGAGTTTTTGCAACGTCTAGTTGCCAAAAAGAAACTCGTAATTTCGAGAAAGCAGATTAGATACAAATAGAATGAGGGATGTTCAAGGCAAAATCATGCCTAATGCTTTAGTCTCAGTTTGAGCAGCATTTGAAAACAACAATAATAACAAATGATTCAAGATTAGAGCAGATTCTTTTTTATGGTGATTTGTAAAAAGAGGCAGGGTCTCCGTGGCCCTTAGTTGTCCCAAAAAGTACACAAGAACTTCATACGAAAAAATAAGGTATGAAATTTTGTTATTAGCGCGTTACATGCTTGGTTTGAGGACAGGTAGGATTGAACAAGACACGTAAGGAGTTTTTTTTTTTTTCAGATGATTTCGCGATTAAAAATAAAATTTTTGGGAGTTGGAGGAGTATTACCGTAATCCCCGAATATCATGGACAGGGGCTGTGTTCATTTTTTACCCCTGCAGTTACAAGTGCGACACAACATTCATGAAATGATATCCCTTTAGCCACAGTTTAAAAACGGTAATTATATCTAATCACCTAATAAGCGCTAATGTACGTTCTTGTCTTCAGCGATGCGGCAGTATGACACACATGTCTGATACACAGAATGATAATTCTGGAAGAGGAAACAGCCACAGTAGTTCCAGTATTTGGGTAGACGGCCTCAGACGATTGAGGAATAAACTTTTACAATAAAAATGTGCTGTTACAAATAAGAATGTAGAGGTATCCCATAAAACGCATCACTACATTATTGGCTGGCAACATTTGTAAATAAACATTTCAAAAGTGTCATAACCGCTTTACACTTTTGATCTCAGCCTTTTTCTCCTGACATCTTCTGGTTTTTGCCGTTGTTTGGAAGTGATTTGGCGATCACCCTGCAAATCACTAGCTTATGTGAACATTCAGTATTCAGCATCACATTGAATGCCGTTTTCCCAAAAGTTTCGAGGTTTCAGACCAGTTTTCAATGATTTTGCGTAAAAACACTATAATACATGAAAAAATCGGCTAATTTCTGTATTCTAATCTTATTCTCAAAACAGTTATGCAGCACACGTTTATGCTAAATTCTTCTAACTATGGACAAACGAGTATTTGAATGTAAATTGAATATCATTTGACTGGAGAAATTTACAGGAGATATATTCGCACAGTTTCCTATTTCCTTTTAAAACCTAAACAAAGATTCAAACAATGGTAGCGAAAGTTTTAACCATTTTTGTAATACGATTAAAAATATGCTATGAAAAAAAAACTGCTGCAGAAGGAAAAGCAAACGCATCAACTGCTACTTTGATTTTTGATAGCTTGCTGTTTTTCTCTGAATCATCATAGATGGAAATTCAAAATTTACTCTACTCCTTGTGGGATAGTCATTTCTAAATGCGCGCTTGTAATCGAACAGATCTTACCTGCCATTTTTCAAAATCTTGTCTGACTGAAGTGTGGATTCTATCTGAACTTCGTCTATATCTTTGCGCACGACCTTACCAGATCGGCAAACGTTGTCTTTTTTGTCTCCCTACAATACACAGTTACTATTATTTTCGCTTGACCAAACCTCTGCACATCAGGTTGAGAAAATTAAAGTTTCCAAGAAATTTACCAATGGCGCCAGCGGAAACTGCAACTTATTTGGCGGGTAGTCCTCGAGTAATTTAGCGGTATTCTTGGAAAGTGGAATGTCAGTTTTGATTTTGAGATACATGGGCGGAAGACGATCGAGCAAATCTTTCACCTCCCTGAAAAAAAACGTTCTACTGTCGCGGACGATGAAGAATAGTTCATCTCAGAAGAAAAAGAAAAAAATGAGCGGACGGACAAAGAAACGATTTGTGACATGAGAACATTTCTTGAGTGCAATTAAACCTAGCCTTATCATGATTGTACTAGTCTCTAATACCATTGCACTGCTCCAAAAATGGAAAATTAGGTAATACAATTTTTGAATTGCGATGTCAAGCTCTGGTAAAAGTAGATATTTTGAGGGGTAGCAAATAAAAGAAAACTGTATGGGGTTGAGCTGATGAGGTGATCACAAATATATTATCTTGAACGTGCAGCATACCTTGTACGCAGATCCAACTGTTCTAAAGAGATAGAATTCATGTAGGTTTGAATCATCGTTATCAAAGCGCTACCAATAAGGTGAACGCATGTTCTGAAACAAAAAAAAAGAAACCAGTGAACTTACAAGCAGAAACTTTCAAGAGAGACAATGTGGTAGCGATTATTTCCGTGAAATTTGGCCCTTGGTGAATCAGGGGATCGCGAAGGCATTGCCATGTGATGAAGATTTTAGAGAAGTTTTGGGGCTCATTTTTCTCAAAACGAGATTTTTCTCACACTACAAAACTAACTGCTGATACAATCGACTACGTTGGGAACAGGTGCCTAGAAAGAACTTGTGGATGAAGCAATGATTGCTGCGAAAATCTAGCTTTTTGAATTCCGTCTATTCATAAAAAGCCTCAAACAGTAGCCTGAGTGAACGCAGATGTCATGCTGCTTGTAAAGCACCAAATTTTCAAGCGATTCATCTGATTTTACCCAAGGTATTAGGTTGTCAAGAAAATAATGTCGTTGTTTATTGGATTGCTTCAACAAAGCAACCAGACTCAACCCAACAAAGGGTAAGGGGTACTGTTCGATAGAGCAAAGCAAGCTCTACAAGATGGCGTTCAAGATTTTGCGTCATGCTCGATCCACGGAGAGTTCGAACTCAAAATCTAAAGATTTCCAAATGCTCAAAAAATCTAAAAAAATCAGACCTCCGTCCAAATAATTTCTACGGACCTCCCATTCGCTCACATCAATACTATCGATATCTGATATCCATATGTGCGATTGCCGTACTTTTTCCTTGACTAGAAACTGAGAAAACGAAAATTTTCCTGATTTTCTCAAAGCAATGCTGAGCCGTTTTTGCATATGTAGTTCTATACTACAAGCCTAGGTAAGTATAACTGTAGATTTTCAGCGCATTCCAAGCGGTGGTTTTCAAAAAATAACGAATTCGGATTTTTTAGTTTCAGTTTCAGTGCTAATATCAACATTTCTCGAAAAGTACCGGTCGAAACGGGCTGAAAACCTACAGTTGTGCTCACCAAGGCTGGTAGTATAGAACTACATATGCAAAAACGGCTCAGCATTGCTTTGAGAAAATTAGGGAAATTTTCGTTTTCTCGGTTTCTAGTCAAGGAAAAAATACAGCAGTCGCACATTTGGATATCAGATATCGAAAGTATTGATGTGAGCGAGTGGGAGGTCCGTATAAATAATTGGACGGAGATCTAGTTTTTTTCGATTTTTTGGGCATTTGGAAATTTTTAGATTTTGAGTTCGAACTCTCCGTGATCGAGCATGACGCAAAATCTTGAACGCTATCTTGTAGAGCTTGCTTTGCTCTATCGAACAATATCCATTATCCTATGTTAGGTTGAGTCTGATTGCTTTGTTAAAGCAATCAAATAAAAAACGACATTATTTTCTTGACAACCTAATACAATTTCTGACCGGGTTGTCAGTATCGCCCACTTCGTACTTATATGCGAGATCAACTTGTTTCTTTTTCGGTGTTCCTTGAAAATTACATTCTAACCTGTAATAATTAATCTGAGCTTCCAGTGGAGGGATGTAAGATTTCGCATCGCCGATCACAAATGGTTTATTTTCACCAGCTCTATAATCGTCTTCAGCACGCGCGCGAAGATGACGTTTGTATTCTGACTGAAAGAAGAGCAATACATCTGCTCTGCTTTTCCAAGTTATCATCAAAACTTTACCTTTGCTGCACTGCGATCTATCGATTTCAAATGGAAGATCTCGCCAAGGGCACATGTGGCTTCAAAAATCGTTAGGGACATTGGAAGCACATCGATGGTGCGGAACTTTTCGATAAGCTGGAAGTCCCTCAGCTTGCATATAAAGACTGAACGAATCCTCTACCTCTAAATTTAGCTTCGTCCACATCTTTGCTCTTGCGATCACTTCAACCAAATCCGCTGACATCGAAACTAAGGTCCTCAAACGGTACATGGCAGCCATTTCAGCCAGAGACACCTGAGGCATGCTAAGGAGAGGCGGAAAATCTTGCTCCGTTACCTCTCTGTTTCGCATGAAACTTGTTTGGTTTGACCCAGAGTTGCTCCATTCTGTTACTTTGGACGCTGCTTCTTTTAGACGAATTATAAGTTGATCATGTTCGCCCTTTACTGGCTCTGCTCCCTCGTCTGATTGTATCACAATTCGTATAAGAAAAACACGCCATAAAGCTAGCATGATTGCTACGCTAATTTAGCCGAGTTTTGCAGCTTTCAAAGACTCGCTCAAATTTTTAAAACTCAGAATGCAATGACGGACTGAGTTGCTCAAGCTTGCTGTATAAACCTACTTTTATCATCTTGCTTCGCTTTGATCTTCGTACACTGCTCTTTCAAAGGAATGGAGTAGATTTCGTCTATAGCGTCTGTATATGCTTTGAGAGCAGTTCCCTAAACAGATTGGAACGTATTTTAACTTTGGCGTTAGGACAAGATTATAGCTATTGAACAGTCATTATGTTTTGATCAAATTCTATCAAACTGCACATTATCAGTTATTCTTCCCGGAATAGGTTTACGCCCATCATTTGGCGAGGGAATGGGGAGGATGTAAAAAGAACGGAAGGCTTGTTTATATGGTTCGTACGTATAATACAGCAAGATTCGCTTTATATCAGTTATGAACGACTTCGGTTCCTTACTCTTTCCTCCTCTCCCTCTACCCGTCACCCAATGCATAAATCGATCTAGCCACAAAATTCCAGCTACCCGCTATTTCATTGCTTTCGAAAAAACTATTTCAATCCTAGAGGTCTTATAGAAAAACATCAGGCAATGTGCTCTTCCAAAATGTCTACCAAACCGCGCGCAGAATGGCGAATTTGAATAAAATCTCCTTCTAACTTCAAGCTTTATCTTTCCTGGAAGGCATATCTGCAAGCAGCGTTCTCAGACTTCCCAAATGAAAGAAGAGTCACGAAGTCAAAGTGGCCGATCATTAGAAACTGCATGCCTTGGAATACTGATTCCAAATCTGCTATCCTTATCTGCAAAACGATTCTAGGAAAGCTTGAATTTTGACGAATAGAGTGGGCATCTTGAATTTTCACCTTGAGCCAATGCGGTTGCTTTATCTTGAGATAGTTCTACTCCTGGGGTATGTTTGTGGAAACAATTTAATGGCTCAAGGTATGTTTACATACCAGTGGCGGTCGCAGGATTTTCGTTGGGAGGGAAGGGGGCGGCAAGAAATCCTTTTCAAATGAAGGTGCGTAGAGTTAGCCACGCACTCCGAAAAAATTTTGTCACCAGGCTAATTCAAATTTTTATGAAATTTTGAAAATTGTGATTGTTTACAAGAATAAACAAGTCACTTGCACATTTTTATAACTCATGTAAGTAAATTTCAAAGATTTCGCGACACATTCTCAGGAGAGTGGGCCTCCCCTCCCAGTCCGCCATAGATACATGTCTATAGGCAACTGATTAAGAACATAAGTATACTAAAGTTTATTTTAATCAGAGGATATCGCTAATTTTGACTCGAAAAACGTTGCATTATCTATCACTAGTTATTCCCCACACAATGCGCGGTATTAGATTTATTCGCTCAACAGCATCCCTGGCTCGGCTATTAATTTAGCCTACTTTGGAACAGAGACGAGCTATAGCAAATAGTTGGATCATATGAATTACCCTATTTTCCGTAGTATAAGTCGCATTTTCGTGCACCGCGCGCGAACAGTTTTGCGACGACGCGGGCGATGTGCGACGCCGCAAGAACAGCGCCAGTTTTGTGCATTCGTTCTCTGTCAAAATGCCTGTGATCACGGGTTGTTTGAAAAATTAGCCTGCTCTATCCTTAACATATTGACGACCGCTTGGCACACATGCATGACTCCCATTGGAATGGCTACTGATTTGTTGCAAACCAACTCTGGGAGTTTTCTTTCATGCTAAATTTAGATACAACCTCTTCTGTTTTTGCCACCGTCCGAACGCTACTGTAGGTGTAGTGTAGATGGACTTGTGCGTGATTTTATCTGAAAAATGTTGGCTGGTCCGAGAAAGGCTTTGGTCGTCAATGTGTTAATTTGTCATATTCCGCTAAATAAAAATTTCACACTAAAATGCCCGTACTGTTATCATTCAAACTCATCCCTGTCACCGAGCTCGTTTATGTCTATATCTAGTCAAACTTTCGCTAAACTTTTCCAAAAATTGAAAGCACTGCCATCCTGACTTTGTAGCGCCCATTTAGCAATTTCCAGGTAAAGTGTAGATAAGCAGACCGTTAAAGTACAGTTCAACCCAAGCCCAAACTAGGGCGCAACTTTCGCGTTAACGTTCGCGCGGCAGGTGCGCCTTATACACATGGTTGAGCCTTATACTCCGAAAATTAGGGTAGTTCTAATTGGTGAGACTGAGGACCACCAAGCAAACCTGGCGAAAACTCAGGAGAGCTACGTTATTAGAGGGCTATATTATTTCTCAAACGCTATAGTGCTTTAACAAAAAAGGTACGAGTTATCATCTGTCAACGATTTGGTGCAATAAACTTGTAGTCCTACCGCCCATTCCATGAAATAAACTGCGGCTGCCGTAGTCCTTTTAGCTTTGGGAGGTTTGTCTCTCTGTAATCAAACAATCAGCTAGCATCACTGCAACTAGAAAAAATATATGCATTTGTTTGGTTTTTTGGATTAGTAAGAAGACTTTCGCTCAAGTGTCTTATTGTTAGTACCTTCCGCTTGCCTTCAGAAGATGTTAAAACATGGTATCTAATTTCGAAATTTTATCACAGTGATGCCATACTTTTGCTTAATTCCGTTTTCAGACTGAAAATTTCCGTCAGTGAGAAAAGTATAGGACCGACCGGGGTCATGTGTTCGCCGAAGCAAATGAAAACTCATTTTTTGGCCAGTGCGTCATGAACACCAATCACTAGTTGCACATGGGTCAACAAGTAGATTCACGTGGTAGCTCAGGTACCTCTGAAAATCTATCAGGTAAACTGAAAATTACCCCCACTCAAGTGCTCACAACTTTAGTTCTACGATCGCGACAAGTGAGAACTATAATACTATGCGGCAGTGGAGGTCGCAGGATCGTCCGGGGGGGGGGGGGAGGGGGAATTTTTTTGAAATGAGGGTGCGTAGCATCAGCCACTCACTCCGAAAAAATTTTTGGGAAGCTTCTCAAAACTTTTGGTGGTGCAGAACCCCTAAAAGCCAGAAAATGGGAGCGCAGCTGCCGCCATACCCTACCGAAAAAAATTTTTACAAGGCTGATTTGAATTTTTAAAAATTGTAAAGGATTATTTCAATTATTTACAAGAATAAACAAGTTATTTGGACATTTACATAATCCATTTAACTAAATTTCAAAAATTTTCGGGACCCATTCTCGGGGAGGGGGAGGAGGGAGCCCTGCCCCATTCCCGGGGGTGGGGCGCCCCCCCCCCCCTCCCCCCGAGAATGGGTCGTGAATATGCAAGTGGTTGGTTCATTCTTGTGAATAATAAAAATTGAATTTAAGGTTTTTAAAAAATCCATAACCTTGTAAAAGAATTTTTTGGGGTGTTGCTGTCGCCATGCGTCTTTTTTCTAGATTTCAGGGGTTGTGGACCAGCAAATGAGGTACGCATCAAAAAATTTTTGCCGCCTCCCTCCCCTCTCCCGGACCGCAATCCTTCAAGAACTCATTGATGTATAGAATGATTGCCTTGGTACGGCATGTACACAATAGGTAGTGGTATCAGCATCTAATGAAATACCTATGTAACAGCAATCAGCATGCATACTTATCGTAAACGGAAATTGAAAAGCTTTGCTAGACTAATAGAAAACTGGCCACCTACCGTATACCTTGTGGTAACATGTACCCTGCCCAAACTGCATTCTGTGCATCACAAAACGCTTGTTGGGCCAAGCTTGATGGCGCTTTCTCTTTCATCCACTCTGAGCCGATAATCTAGAGAGCGACGTAAACTTCGGTGAACTACCGCACTCTCAGCGGATCTTTTTTTGAAGCCTAGTGGCGATATTGTAGTATTCGGGTTTTGTTTTTTTTTCACATGGATAGAACAATCGCACAGTTGCGATGGGACGGGGGTAGGTCTGAAAGTTTTTGCGTAATACAAAAAACAGTAACCTTTCAAATACCACATCTGAAGTCATGGTCCAGTATCCTAAAAATACCACAAAGCTTCCGCTTTATGATAAATGTCCAAGCATGACATTCTATGAGTTGGCCAACGAGAACGAAGCTTCCAAATATAGCTAACCAAATTTTGCGATTTTGAGATTGGTGCTAGAAAATCACGGAGAAGCAAGCTTGTCTAGAAAAAGCATAAAATTTACACCCAGCAGAAGTCCACAGGTTAATTTGGGAGGCTTCAATCTCCACAGAAATGCAAAAATAGAAAATTTGTGAGTAATGTCATTTTTCAAGAAAAATCCTCTTATCGCTGCAGTTTTTCCAAAGAAACATGTTTGATGCTTCAAAAAGTTCTAAATGTTCATGTTTTGAATATGTACTGGGTCTAATTTCTGGTTCCAAACCGCGTTTCCGTGGAAAGACAGCAGCGATAAGGCAATTTTTCCTATAATGTGACCTTTTTCATGATTTTTTATCTTCGCATTTTCATGCAAGATTGGAGCCTCTGAAATTAGGCTATGAATTTTTGCTGTGTAGAGGTTTTTGTAGCATTTTTTGGGCCAGCTAGTTGCACTCCGCGATATTCTAACACCAAACCCGTAATCAAAATTTGAAAATCTATTTTTGGAAGCTTCATTCTCGGTCGCCAAATCATAACATGTTACGTTTGAACATCTGTTATGAAGCGGAAGCCCTGTGGTATTTTTAGGATACTGGCCAAGGGACCGGCCATACTATTCCTGTGATTCCTACAATTCCTGCGGTTCCTGTAATTCCTTCGGTTCCTGCACTTCCCGTTATGACAAAGCGAGTGAACAAATTGACTCTTGTGATGACAAATGACTAATTGACAAAGCGCCGTCGTGCGACACATAGGAATCGATGAATCACAGAACCGCAGGAATCACCTGGAATAGCATAGGCGGTCCCCAAAAGTTTAGTTCATTACTCTGGAAGTCATTAATTTTTGAATTACGCAAGAACTTTCAGGCTAAATCAATAGTTTCTGCTCTTTGGCACGTAGTTTTTGTTAAGAACGCTTATATAAGAATTAGAGAGTTAAAAAAGTGTCTGCAAATGTACTCCTCATCGTCACAGCAATCGAGCTGTGACTAAAGGAACCGTGAAACAACTATAGGCCGCCCGCGCTGTGTTCGGAGAGCAACGCCGTTGTGTCCATTGAAGATAGTTCAAGACTGGGAAAGGCACAGAAAACAAGCGGCGATTGCACGAGGAAAAAGGAAGCTTTCGCATTTGGCCCCGGGCAGACTTCACGCGATTTGATCGTCGCGACTGAATCACGACGAGACAACTGTTACAACATCATTCCATGCCGATCAACTTGCATTTCGGTTGTGATACTTTTCCAGCCCGAAATTTTTGAATGTGAAATGAAAATGAGTGGAAAAGTCGGCGATTGAGTCGCGACGATCAAATCGCGTGAAGTCTGCCCGGGGCCTTACAGGAGAAAGCAAAAATCCAAAAGTGCCAACGATAATCCACCAGTTTTACTTCTCACCAAGAATGACCTCAGGCTACTTTTCAGTTAATTGTCGGCAACAACTGCAAAATAAGAAGGAACCAAATTGGAGTATCATTTCCACTTTTGCTCAGCCGTGGTTGGTGGAAGACTATGCAGGCAAAGAAGTAGTCCACTGTTGCTTCCTCCAAGTTTATGCCAACACCTTCAGGCTGGCGACATGGCTGTTAAAGGAAGCAGTGATGAACTCGCAATGGAGATGCAGCTCAGGGAAGAGAAGGTCAGATCTTTATGTTATACGACAGCTGTTCTGAAGTAGGGTTTTACAGACTTACCAGACTGCCGATGAAAGCAAACGGGAAATCACCGTTGCTCTGAAAATTTGGAAACAGACTCTGGAAGCAGAGAATAAGAGGGCAAGAAATCTTTTTTGAGACTAGAAAAAAACCACAATGACAGAGAGTTTTAGCTTAACGAAGTGCTACCAGTAGTGCAGCGGAGATATGATGAATTGGTGAAGCAAAGGGACGCACTAGTAGAAAAAGTAAATAAATTGAGAGAATCTATCGGAATGGCGGCCTACGTTACGGAGGTAGGTAAATAAAATTCTCCAATTTTTTTATTTGAAGAAGTGCAGTTCTAGGAAGAGCTGAAAGCTTTGGATGCTGACGTCAAAACTGCGAATTCCTTCTCTATGGAGTCTTTCAGTCAAAATTCGGAAACATCAAGTTGTACTTCGTTACCTTCCCTACACGTTGAAGATCATTGCGGATGATATGATAATCCAGATTTATACACTGACTTCTCTATTTCCACAATATAGCGTAAATAAAGAACATAGAAAAGAACTGCTCTGGAAAGTTCCTCCTATGAAGCGCTCTGCAGACATGCAGATTTGGAATGATCAGGACCAGCATTCCGAGCTCCTTACATAATCGCCAGGAGCAGGCGATAACCGAAAAAATTTTGGTTGATTTCTCGCACTCCGTTCGCAGATTTTTAGAAAATCGGTCGAGTTCTTGCGAAGCTGCTTGTCGAATTCTTGCTTTGTAAAGAATCAGCAACAAATATGCCAAAAATCAGCGAGAATTAAGTCATCCGAAAACTCGCTGACCATTTTTCAGAAATCTGCGGGCGGAGTGCGACAAGTTACAGTCGAGTAGATTTAGCGGTAAATATAGTGTGCTTGCACAGAGAAATGCGGTGAAATTTGCGCGTGAACAAGTAGCCACGTCCTCAGACACTCGCGGTTGACTCGCGCAGGGCAAAACGATGTCTAGCCATTGAATGCGTGGGCGACTCGCGAAATCGGTGTCGCGGCAAAATCAGGACACCTGATTTTGTGTCGCGGCAAAAGTGCGCGGCAAAATCGGGGCAAAATGGGGAGACCTGCGCGAGACACCAAAATGTCGCGATCGCGTTCACAGCACGCGGCCTACGCCCTTACTGACAGCTTTCTGCGTCCTCTAAGCCCTCTCTCACGCCTTCCTGTTGACTTACCTTGAGTCCTTGGTCACGTTGGGTCCCGTTTCCCACGCTTGTTTCTTTTCTGCTGATAAAACCCAGTCTTACGTCATACAATTTATTAACAAATACCGCATGATCTTCTCGAGTAGAGTTTACAATGACATGGAAATGATATGCACAGTCAGCAGCAATTACAGGATTGAAAACACCACAAAAACGACACATTACGAAAAAAACTACGACTAAGAATGAGAACAGCATCAGTCTTCGACTACTTCAACTTCGTCTTCGACGGCTTCAGTCTTCTGGATCACTTCGTCTTCTTTAGTAACAGTGCTGCCTTCGACCATGACACGCTTTTTCTGAAAATGAAAAATTATTGTTACCAGGATCGTATAAAACAAATGAATCACCTTTGATGGAAGGAGCATGGCCCTATCAGGGTCAAAATGATACCTTCGAAGGTCTTCCCTGCAAAATTATAGTTCAGAAGTATCGCTTTCTGTATGAGAAAACTCAAAAAGCTCTCCCTATTGCTATCCTCGCTTTACCGCTCCAGATTACTCTTTTCTCTGAGAGGACGTGGAATAATCTTTCGCGAGCGTCGTCATTTTCGGCCAAGTCCAACCACCACCTAAATTCTAGTGGACATGAAGGTCTTTCGAGAACATACATACTTATTTGGATTCCGTTTGTGCTCATCTGGCGTCCTCAAAAGCTGGTCGCGGTGTAGGCCAAGAGCGTCAAGGATGAAACCTAAATCAGTTATTGAAAGTAATGTACTCAAATACACATTGACCCACTTATTAAGAAATCGACTAATCCTTCCGGGAGGTCCTTAAGATGGTCAAATTTTCCCTTCTTTCCGCTCTGTCTACAGGCGTACTGTTGAATTTTCGTAGGTGGTTCGCACGCCTAAACGGTGATTACAAGACAACCTTATCATCTTCATCTATTTGTCGCTTACATTTAGAAAGAAGTGTCGCATAAAGTCGAGCACCAAAAGGAAATGATCATGGTCATGCGCGCGTTTTGGTCTCTGCCATTTTTCCATGACTTCAACCATATTGAACTCCTGAAACTAATGTTTTTTCCTCGTTGACTGAGAATAGTACTAAAGACCTTGAAGGGTGGTGAACTGTCACGATGCCAGACCCTCGATATATTTTTTCTTGAACAAATTTGCATCCCATGGGTCACTGGAACGAGAGACTTCAAACTTATAGTCCCGAACATGTAGAAGGTAGGATGACGAGGTGAATAAACTCAAACATAATGTACTTCGCAACAACAAGATTTTCCGTGAAAATTTCAGCTCGGTGCATCAAAAAAGTGTTAAAATCATGCCTTGCCCAACTGAAACAAAAGGGCAATGACGCCACTTGTGTACTTTGATAGCGAAAGTGTTCTCTACGGCGAACGTAATACTACGACAAAAACAAATGATATCAAAAAAACCAAAAAAATTATCTCGCCATCAGCCTGAGTTCAAAAAAGATCAAGATTGAAAAAAATCAAAAAATAGACCAAAAAATGTACCTTGAATTCTCACCTCAACAAATCCAAATCCTCGGCAGCTGCACTTGATGTAGCAGGCGATGAAAAGAATAACCGTGGTATAGAACGACGTGAATGCAAGTTTAAAAGCGGAGCAGCACGGTTGCCAAGGTGTGGAACATTGCTAAAACGTACTTTAACTGAAGATTAATCAAACAACCAAAAAATTTTCGTAATCTTTCGAGTTTATTTCGATACGCTCGAGGTCTTAAACGTAAATCGTGTGAAACAAAGGGCATTAGCACTTTGGGTATCCTGAAATAAAAAGGAAATTTTCTTTTTGACATGACTTGCCCTCCGGAGAGGGGTAGGGGAAGTGGGAATGATACTTAGATACTTAGATGGCCCGTCCTAGGACGGGAATGATACGTGACTGTGAAAACTGTGTTGATATTAGTGACAGGGCCAACTTCGTAGGGTTACGGAAAGCGGACGGTATGGGATCAAAGTTTTGGATTTGTAAGTTTGCATGGATCACTTTGACTTGTTTTACTTGATAAATATATACCCTCAAAATAGCGGCTTATTGTAGTTACGGTAGGACGATATGGAATGAATCCCATTTTGATTCCACTGTTTTGATCTATTTTAGCAACAAGATTTATCTAATCAACCTGACAGGTAACCCATGTTATAGTACGGTCTGGAATTTTGACCACAAGCCGTACTTCTGACGACCCCCTATGAAATTCAAGGAATTGATGTAGGGGTTGAATTGCAGAAAAATTCAACGCTTGGAAAATTTGGAATACACACTAGTATGTAAGCAGTCAGCGGGTGAATAATGTAATGTCGAGATAGCTGCATTGAAATTCTAATCAAGCAGTGTATAAAAAAGAAAACTCTTTGTCATACAAAAACCAAATGATTGACATATCATTCTTTCCGGGACTAGCTTGAGAACGCTACGTCCAAGTTGCATATAAGCTCAAACCTGTTTCTTACTTATTTCCAAATGGTGAATCATCGAAATGCGGTAAGACACAGGTATTAACTTGTTAATCCCGCTTGAATGAAGCAGTCCTGAGTCTCATAAATTCAGAATGAATGATATGTCAAATAATGCAACTACATTTGCAAAGAATCTTGTCATGAATAGAGTTTCATACAAAAAAAGTTGTTCCAAAAAACTTTTTTCTTCAAAAACAACTAAAATCCTCAAAATTGAAACAAAAGCCAAAAAGAAGGTTATCGTACGATAGGAATAATCACAGCGACAACCGATAAGAACGTAGGATACACATCTACGCTTTCCCCGAGTGTTTTCCTTGGGACTGTGATCGATGTTAGCGGAAAGGGGAAACGTGCAAAATAAAAAGCCAGAGGCAAAGACCGCGTCGCAGCGACTAGATTAATTGGAGCAGTGCAGAACTATTCCAATTTTTCGTTCTAAACAACATGTTTATCCAATTTTGTGCAGAAAGAGAATGTTTTTTGAACGCGAGGAACAATTTCAATTTCTACTAGTATTGGAAAGTTTAGCTGAAATTCTTGTTACTTGATACTTCTCGTTAATTTCCAGTTTACTGATTTTTTATGGCTGTTTGATTATGATGATTCTAGTATTACTGCAGTAAAAAGCTTTTAGTCACTTTTAAAGCTTAGAAACAATAACGAGACAACACCAGAAACGAACTTTGTTGACGAAAAACATTAGAAATGCACTTATCTCAACACAAGCCCTCTAAAAGTTCAATATTCAAGGTGAACCCGTTGAACGTTCCAGTGTAAACGCCGTTATCAATCGTTCACTGATCGATCGTTTCATTGGTTGCCTTGTTCTTATTACATTCCGGATTCCGATTTTCGAGTAATTTTGAAAACACGCGAAACTCTGGAATAGAACTGAGGACTGTGGATAGGAAAGCAACTGAAAATTCGACAGAAAAGCTCGTGAGGAAAAAGCAGGATCTTTGAAATAGGAACTGCACAGGTAGCAAGATGACTGCAAGGAAGAATTGATCAATACGTCGACGTATAGGCGCGTTATTTCGAAATCCTCGCCCGTCGCGGCAAAATCGCACTAAAATCGGGGCGAAACTAAAACGATGACTCGCGCCGGTCCACCGGATTTTGCTGCGAACGCCCATTTTGTGGGCGGATCCCCTGCGCGAGTCAACCGCGAGTGTCTGAGTCAGTACCGCGGATATCTTGCGCGCGCAATTGGCCGGCGTCACAGTCGAAACTATTTCTTCACGCGCCAGTTTTACCGTTCACCTTCTGTGCAAGCACACTATATTTACCGCTAAATCTACTCGACTGTAGCAACGCGGATTTTCAGGTACCCGCCTACCGCGGCGATTGTCTGGGCTGACGTCAACCCGCTTAGGCGAAACTCTCATCCAACCGGTTTCGGGCTGAAAACTAGACCGGTACGTAGCTTTCTTGGCGACCATCGGTGATTCCCGAAATTCAGTAGGAAATGACTAATTCAATAGCAAATGAGATATGGCGATCGGTGAGAAACTACGATAAGAGACTTACAATATCTTGAAATATAAAGTCTCTGCTTTCTCAGTACAACATAATCAGAAGTTCACCACGTCACGGAATGAAATATCATACATTCTGTGATTGAAAGACCCGAAACCGCTTCGCAGACATGGTCTAAACAAGCCTGATAGTCTGGCAAACAATTTTCTACTTGTGGTCTGTCTAACTTGATTATTTGCTACTTGAAACACGAAAGTATTGTCCATTCATATCCCGCAAAGATTGGGCGCCATTGCATCCGGCCAGAATAGCTCGTCTTTGGGAGAGACAAAGATGGTGTAAGAAACGAAAGAGCTTTTGATCGGAAAGACGCCGATACGTACGCAGTCTTTGAATGCGTCGAATCGCCTATACAAGTTCAAGCTTGTTTGGCCACTGTGTGCAAAGCGATTTCGATCTTATTCAGAGAATCCATGACACGCCAGCGGTCTGAATTCCTGAACAGTTCCAAGTTGTCATTTGTTCCGCATAATAATTACCCAGGCATTTGATTGCCAAAAAACTTTTTGTCTCCCCAAAAAAGTGAGCGCACGGAAACTCAAAAATTGCTGGTCTAGCCATTCAGGCGATGCCCTCTAATGAATTCTGCACCTCAGTTCCCCAGACCTGAGTTTCTCAAAAGCGTAAGGTCCGGAGTGAAAAGACTACACTGGAAAGTTTGCATTAATCTAAAGAAAAAAATTTGGGTTTTCCCATTGAAAGTGGTCAGAAGGTTTTGGTTCAACCCCAAAATGGATTTTGACATCACAAACCTAAATACAGCGCTTATCAAACGCAGTCTCGCTTGCATCAGCATCTCCACTCACGCGCTGGACTCTGCATCTCTTCCGCGAACATGCTCTCTGATCACCTTCCCAGGGCAAGCGCTGGAAAGGCGGAGCTTCAATCGGTTCGAGGTGATTAGAGAGCATGTTCCGCTGAAGAGATGCAGAGTCAGAGCGGGAGTGGAGATGCTGATGCAAGCGACCCTGCGTTTGATAAGCCTTGTAGAACCTACACCTATACCATAGTTCCGCATAAATTGTACTACCGACGATATTGAGATTGAAGCAATTCCGGACATTGCGCCAAAAAGCCGACAAAACGGATAAGGACGGCAGAGTAGTGAAATTATAACTGCGTCTAATAGTTTCAGTAGTCCTCCTCCTCTCCTCGAAAGCACTCTCCCGCGCTGTAATACGAACGCCGCGTTGCACGCGCTCGCCGGTGCAAGAGAAAATCGCGAGCTCAATATTACCGCCGCTAAAAAAAATTAATTTCGGGTTATTCTTTGAGCACTTTGTTGTGGAAGGAGCTGACCTTTCCAGTTTTCGTTTTCGAAATGTATAGACGACTGATTTTGAAAGCATTACGATTAAATGCACGGACTTCGAAGCAGATACGTTCTTCTTCAGCTTGGATTAATCGTGCCCGGTATGTTTAGTTTAGCTTTGCTAGCAAAATATTACAGTAGACGAATTCATAGTTCGGTTATCAGCCCCGATACAATCTTCTCATGAAGTGATGCGCGTCAGTACTTTCTCATTTGTCTTTGTCCCAATCTAGACAGGCCTGGCCCAATTTTTGTAATCTCATTCTAAGCGTTTCAGCGCTGATGCGGATTCGACGCTCGATCGTTCCGTTGATGCTGAGAAACTGTTCATCAACCCCGCTGTTCAGCGTCTCCTGACGGAGCTTACTGGTATGGATCTCGAAGGGAAGGTGAGCAGCTTCTTTGTCCCTCTTGCGTACTCCACTTCTACCTTGTAGTGAATGTTCATTTATTTGAGGTCTTCAAAGAGAGACGCACGGAAATTCAACAACGTTCGCATTTTGCCTTGATGACGGAAGAACGATTAGCTGAGGTACGCGAGTTAGATTCACTTTTTGCCTTGACTTGCACTGAATGTTTCTTTAGACGATGGAGAAAATGAAGGCGGAAGCGCAGCGTTTTCTGAACTTTGTTCCTTTGAAGGAACCGCGATCGCAGGAGGTATACAAGAGGGACTTGATCCACGTTGTACGTTACATCAGCAGTTTTAGGTGACCATCTTATCTAAAGACCCTGAGATAGCGGGCTTTGACAACTCTAAGTTCGTGTTCACGGATATAACGTTCGATGCCACAGATCAGGTGATCTCTTGTTTGCTTCTCGCCCTCTTTTGTTCCTCCTGTGTTCTGTCTGTCAATAATGTTTTTTTGAAAAGAACATTTTTGTTTTTATTTCTTAGTACAGTTTCTTTTTCTTCAAGCCAGATATGGTAAACTTGCTAGCAATTGAACAGAGATGTGAATGGTTGACTACACGCGAATTCGTGCGCATTTATGCAGCATTATTTCGTATTGCGATAATGCTTTTATAACGAACTTTCCTTTTGCATTGCTATCTCGCTCCTCATCGCGGCATCGCTACACTTATCCCATTGATCCGCTTGATCCACTCCATTTGATTCGTTATTGGCCAATACACTGATTTGAACAATAAAGGAATGGATTAAGCGGATGAAGTGGAGTACGTATGGCATTTGCCATAGCTAACCATTTCGATTCCTGCTGCATGATTACGGTTTAGGATCGTACCGTTGTAGTGCGTGAGGTTGACGGCACACTTCGCACAGCCACACCGGAGGAGCATGATCGTATGAACAGAACCTACTATGAGAAGCCCAACCGGCCTGTCTTTCCACCGCCTGTCTTCGAGGATCCTTACCTTCAAGTAAATTGGTCCGTCATTGTGTCGTTTGTTCTCGTATAACGGACGTTTTTCAGGACGCTCTAGACCGGAAGGAGCACGAGTTTGTGCTTGATTGGGCGTGTTGGTTTTTTGAACCAGATGACCCGGCTTATGTGGAGGTAAAATTACGCTATAATCTAGCATCTACAACCACATGATCTTTCAGCTCGTTCAACGTGTGTTTGATCGTGTTCTTGAAAAAGGTGATTTTGACGTGTTGCGTTCAACAAGGCATTTCGGAACAATGGTGTTCTACTTTGCTTTGAATGGTAATATCCCACCGTTACTCAATTACTTTGGTGCTCGTGGAAGGTAAGAGTTAGTCTGTTGTTTGCTTTGTGCCTCCTTCTTTCTCAAGCTGTGTACTTTTGACCATTGCAGACTTCACGACTGCGCTAATCTGGTGCGTTTGCAAAAGACCTTACATCCAGATTGGCGATTTGTCATAAATACTGGTGATAGTGACCTGAAGATTGTCACGGATTTCGTGAAACAGGTAACTCTTGCTTTCACTGTTATTTTTTGATTATGTTGCGGCTATGCATATACTATTTCGTATCTTTTGTCAAATATTCTTTTTCACCGACCAAATGGCCCAAATTTCTTTCTTGAGGCAGTGCTTGGCTAGCCACGAAGAGTTTCGAGAACCCCCAAAATCTTTTTATACAAAGTTTATTTGTAGTTTATCAGAATTTACTGATTTATTTCAATCATTTACAAGCGAAACGGAATTTTGTAAGATATCTTATTCTCAGTAATTTGTAATTCTTTGATGCCTCTCACTGGATCCATTGGAGCTCTAGTCATTTCGCATTTTCTGTATTCTTATAGAGTCCATAACACACATTACTCAGGATCTAAAGTATCCCCTCTCAAAGGCAGTGTCCAAGGAAAAAGTCGGTTTCGAGATTGTGTGATTACCTGGGCCCCTACTCGCTATGCTGAATCCGAAAATCAACACATGAGAGCGCGAAAACGGCGAAGAAAGGCTCTAACGGAGGAGGGAAATTGCAGGTGGGCGGGGCTGTTCACCTAGTGACGTCACTCTCCTAGCTTTAGGAGCGATCTTCTCGCTTCCGCTAGTCACCCTAACATCACCACCAGCCAAGGAAACGTAGACATAAAATCGGAACCGAGAAGATTGCTCCCAAGCCTGGGAGAGTGACGTCACGTTATGAACGGTCCCGCTTACCTGCGATTTCCCTTCTGCGTTAGGGCCTTTTTTGGCGTTTTGCGCTCTCCATTGTGGTTTATCGGATTCGGCATGGCGAATAGGTTCGGGTAAGAGCACAAAATCTCAAAATCGACTTTTTGCTTGGACACTGCTTTCAAGTTGTTTTGAGAGCTGCCGCCAACTTCGCGTTACTGCGTCAGGTGTTTAATTAATGAGAATGGTTGTTATTGCTGCCACCACCAGTTTAGTTTTTGGATAACATAAAGCTTAGTGGCGTCCCAGGGCTCAAGTCAAACGTTTAGAATGTGCGCCATCGTGATCAATTGAAAGATCTGAACGCCTTTCTCAAGGACGGTACCGTGATTCCTAGAACTTCGCGAAACGAAAGTCCGGAGCAAATTGATTTTGAAACAAGGGAGAAGGTTTCTAATTTTGCTGTGAATGATTTAGTGGCTCGCAAACTCGACCATTTAGGCTACGGTTGATGCTAGCAATGTAAGAGAGAAATCGGGTCCCCTGGGAGAACTGAGCGAACAGTATGACGTCAAGGTAATGGTTTGATTGGGAACGGCCATAGGTTGTCGGTGTTTTCGATGTTGTCGGTGTTGTCGGGATTGCCGAGGTTGCCGGTCGTTGTAGGACCTCATGATAGTCTCCACGTTTCGCGCGCTCTCTAAACTGTCTCTGACCCCGACAACTCCGACAACACCGACAACATCGACAACATCGACAACCTATGGCCGTTCCCATTACTATGCTTTTATGAAGCTCAGACTCAGGATATTTTAGGTAATCAAATCCGAAGGTGAGGGCGAGTCAGCGCACGAGCACGGTAGTCGCAAAGAACGACGGGGACGATTCCAAGGCCGACATGTGAAAAAGGATAGTCCGAAAAAAGATAATTAGTCACTCAACCAACTTCTCATAGGCTGTTGTTTTTGCTTGCTTTCGGCACGTTTGCAAATTTCTCTGGATGCATCTGTTGTTTATACTTGTTCATTGTTTTGCTATAAAGTATTGAGAATTGTAATTCTTATAGTTTGCACATGCGTATCCTCGCCATCAATCTGTTTAATGTTTTCTGCCACGCTCCCCATCCTTATTTATCTGTTACAGCGGCAGCATGCCGCGAAAGAACATCTCAATGATTCGGCGGACGTCAAATCGAGGCGAGAAACCACAACCCTCGGATAATGGAAGCTCTCTCATGCCGCCTCCACCATCTCCTGTTCCCCCATCGTAGGTTATGCATTTTCGCAAACTCAATTTCTTCTTTCTGCTTTACCCAAGAAACCCATTCCTGTTTGGTTTGAAGGTCACGAAAAGTTAGTAATTTTCTACCATTCATGGGACAGCGATAATGTTCATCTCTCTAGAGTTTCTTTTCTACTAGTATACTTCTTTGCACATGAATGTAGCTCGTTCATAGTGGGGTTCCCAATCCTCAATCTGTTTAGCCCCAAAGATACTAGTCCACTTCCCTTGGACGAGATTCGCGGCAAGCTCTATGTTCTTCGAGAAGACTTGGATTTTGATTGGGAGCCTAGCAGCAATGCTGTTTTGAAAGTTGGCGATGTTGATATTTTGTAACGTCAGTCCTTCATGCTTGATATTTTAGCTGTTGTTCTCCTTAAGACTCTCTGCCGCGTTGTGGAGCAACATCAGTGACTGCGATGAGGTGAGTTACGTTGTTAGATCGTTGTTACAGGAGATGATATAATTGATCAAACGCTCTGAATCTAGGTCTATAATTATTGGGAACCGCTGCATCTTTTACTTTTTGGTGAGGGATTGCAAACGTGGGAATACTCTCCTCTATATGCAATACGGTAATTCTCGATGCTGTCTTGCTTTGTTCTTACTGTGTCAGAGTACCTGTTTAGGTCTTATCTGTACATCTACCTTCATTATATCCCAGCAAACGTTTTATACCATTTGCTACCGTATTCTAAGATTGCTTTGTTTGTCACTCTACGGTGTTGCATTGGAATCTTTACTCTTATGGGGGAATTTTTGCTCTACAAAGCAGTATGTAGGCGGTGAGTTAAAAGTTTCTCTTTTTCACCGAAACGACATCGTCTGAGTCCAGTTGCAAACTCGTGCGACGTCAAAGCTAAACATATTTCGTGGAGTTCATGAGTTGCATAGACATCTTTTTCAGACTGAGCATAAGCATCGGTCTTTTCTTCGTATTATTCTCGATGCTGTCTACTGGCATGTTCATATCAAGGTATGTCATTACAAACCTTTCGGCCTTTTTGCAGTTTTTTCTTTCTTTTTGGGTGAATTTATGTGGTTTCAACCGACGTTATCCCTTTTCTATGTTTATATGACTTTTAACCTTTTCCTATCACATACTTCGTTCTTCAGTCACGTTCTGTATCTTTTCATACACTTTAGCGTTTTCTCTTGAACCAGTGAAAATTTCCAGTACTGCTTTTCTTCCGTCTTCGTTCGCGATGGCTATGAATATGTATGCTATGGCCGCTTTTTTGAACGAAAAATGGTGAGCGACGTATATTTTGTTCAAATGTTTTTAATCTATACATTTAAGGTTCTATGCCATACTTTGCACAGCCATTTCTGCTCTCGTCGGTTGGCCTTTCGCAGCTGTCTTAGGATTACCCATTGTGGTGGATATGTTGATTATTAGGCCTAAGTAAGTATTATTATATTTCCATCTCTATATAAAGTTTCATGCCATGTCACTATAATATCTCTCTCAGGTTCAAAATGTTCTGGTATTACTCTGCTGTTTCTGGAATCGTCGTTGGAGGTTCTTTGCTGAGCGTCGACTCTTATTATTATGGCAAGCGTGTGTTGGTAATATTTACCAGCTTTTAATTAGTTTTTGGTCATGTTTTTCAAGTTCTTGCTCGTAGCTTATCTTGATCTGTGACATGGTAGGCGAGTCCAGACATAACAAAGCTTCTTTTTGGCGTCCTAGTTCTGACTTTCAAAGAACTCGGTGTTACTATAATTCTCTACAAATTTGGTCATCGCACTTTAGAGTCTTCATGCTAGTGTATCATTGTATAACTTTTTACCGTGTTATCTAGCACTTATATTCAGGCTCCGCTAAACATCGTGCTTTACAACGTTTTTTCCGGGCATGGTCCCGATCTCTACGGAGTGGAACCTTTGTCTTACTATATTAAAAATCTTGTATTGAACTGGAACATTGCTGCCATTCTTGCGCCGTTAGCCATCCCACTATCGTCACTAAACTACTTATGTTCGTGGAAGGCCTTAAACGAGCACAAGAAGTGGGGAATACGTGAGTATGCTTTGTTGTGTAGATAATTAGCCTTTTTGCTCTGAACAAGATACATCCATCCAGCTGTTCATCCATCATACTGGCGACATTACTCGTCACTTTTTCTACTATTCGCATCGTTATCCGCATGGTGCATCATTTTCTTCAATCAGCCACATAAAGAAGAACGGTTTTTGTTTCCCGTTTATCCACTCATTGCGTTGATGGCTGCTGTGTCTCTGGACTCTGCTGAAAGGTGCCTTTTTTATGTCTTTTTCGTTTGCTAATTTTATTGTAATATCTTCCATAGGCTAGCATCTCGCTTTGTGCATTCTCTTTCATACCTAAGTTGGCTGGTTGTGCTGCTTTTCATTGTTCTATCACTGTCAAGAACTTATGCACTACATAGGAACTATAGTGCTCATATTGAGGTATCCGTGAGAGTAGTCCAATGTTCTTCAGAATGATATCTGTATTCGTTAAGGTGTATAAGAGCTTTAACGAGCATCTCATGGATCATCAACAACAACTGGACTTCTCGAAACGTGGAGTTAGCAAAGTTTGTTTTTCGTCCGCAGTACTTTGATGTCATTGTTACAGGATCCACTGCGTCTGTGTGTGGGTAAGGAATGGTACCGATTCCCTTCCTCTTTCTTCCTCCCTCAGACTGCCCTTGATGCACGATCTAGGAAACGAGGTTATTGAATTGTTTTATTGTGTCATGGCCACATTTTTACGTACCTCATTTACCTTCTAGTTTAGGAATTCACCTACATTTTCTCAAAAGCGAGTTCTCCGGACTTCTTCCAAAGTACTTCCCGCAAGGAAGGTTGCCGTTTATCACACGACGTATTCCCACAGAAATGAACGATTTGAACCAAGAAGAAATGTCGCGGTAGGTAAAAATGATTTCTCAATATCATATGATATTTACCATCCAGATATGTTCCATTGGATACATGTGATTACATAGTAGACCTGGAAATTCCCGACCAAACTACATCTTTAGAACCTAACTTTGGACTTCTGGTCAGTTTTTCTACTAGGGCCTCTTCCATCTTGGATGGGGTCTTTTTTCCCCTCTCGGAACCCAGCAAATGCTTATAGATTAGGTACTATCCCTGATTGATTTAGGTAGACACCTACGTCCGCTTGCACTCGCATCCGTTTCTGGTGGCATCGAAGTCTCACTGGCTATATCGAGCCTTCTTTGTACCTTACCTAACCGCTAAACATACATCATTTGCGAATTATACTCTTTACCAACGGATACCTCCTACTGTTAGAGTTTAGCACGACCTGTAGTTAATAGCAACTGCTCAATAGAGTTATCTCATTGTCGGGGACGACTGTTAGTTCTCTACTTTAGCTCTAGATTGAAGGGAGTGAATGGAATTGCCATACGTTTCCGATTCGTTTGTTTTCTTTCAGTAATTAAGTTTATTTATTATTCATGACCTTGTTCTTATTTGAAGTGCGCAATTGCGAAGGCACACTATTGCATGCGTTTTGGAAGCTGGCCAGAGAGTGACTTTCTTTTTTTCATATAATATCTGAGCAAATTTATAGATTTCCGCGCGGCGGTCTTGAGGTACGAAATTTATCGCATCGGCAATCATTATTTTTCCATTTACCTTGACAGTCCACCTCATCTGGGACCGATATGCGCTTATCTCACTCACCACACATGAGCCATATTTGATGATTGCTTTTCATGATAGAACTAATGCGAATATCCAGCACGAAAAGAAGCAAGCCTGGTTTTTTGTTTGATGAATTAAATACTATCGGCTCCAACGTGCTTAATTTATCGAGAATCACTTCAAGTAAGAGGTATTCCTTACAGTTATTTTGTCCTTCTGCTTATTCATCATAGCAGCTGTGCATAGCAATAACTGAAATTTTTGTACATTTTGCACTACGTTCGCTCACATTGTTTATTATTTCTCAAACATGTTAGTTGTTTTCAATGGTTGTAAGAAAACTCGTATGTGTCGTTTATGTTCTCGTTGCTTTGGTTTGTAATCCGGGTCTCTAGTCAATTAAAGTTTTTTTTCTGATTTACTAGTGTTTTTCATCAAGTTCATTTCAAAATTTGAATACTTCTGTCCAGCATGTCTCAAACTTATCCTCATATCGTGGCCATCGTGATTGATCATATAGGTGTCATGTCTGGAAGTGAGCAAAATGGTGATTCGACCGAAGCTTCTGATGCTGCGACGTCAAACACGAGAGATATGCAAAAGACAAAAGCTCAAGTACAAGTACGATTCATATATACTTATTTACATTGGCTGTCGTATACACGATCTTCTTCCACGTTTTCCACATTGGACAGGTCGTACTCGTTGTGAAGCGGACATTGAAGTGAAAATTGTTGAGAAATCGGCACTCTTTTCCATTTTTTTAACGAAGATCCAGTTGATTGATAGCATTCGTGAAAATAATGATTCTGGAACACTTAAACAATGATGATAACTACCTTCGGAGATATTCGCTCCTCATATCAAGAGATGATCACCTCATGTATGCTTTCAAAAGTTCCACTATGAAAATGCTGAGTATTGAAAGCGACCGTCGCAGACTTTTGCGACTGTCTGATATACTATAGCATTGACTTCTTGCTCAAGAATTCTTAATGGATGTAAATAGTTTTTTGCAAAATTCCTGTTCGCGTCAGCCATGCTGCTGTAAGATATGAGAAAGCAACTATGTCAAGAACTTCACCGCTTCCTCAATGGAATGGTCATGGTCTCTTCGTTGCGTTTGGAGTTCACAGCTTCTTCTAAATTGACTGAGCCTCAATTCGTAAAGAGATTACAATATGAAGTGTTGTGACCACCCTAACATTTTTGTTATTATCAAGTTTAAAGAGTGGTAGAGATCATCTATGGAGGACGGTTTAAAGCCACTACATTCGAAAATCAAAAACCAACCAATGATTTTTCTGCAGGATGTTATGGTTAAAGCTGCTCAATTGGTCAAAGCAGCGAACAGTTTGCCTCGACGTGGTGACGATTATGAGCTGTGCAATTCCTTCAGCACATTCACAGCTTTCATGGAGCAACAAGAAACCCGGATTCGTCTTTTGTATGTATTCTTTATCTGTTTGCATGTTAGTGAATGTGTGTTGTAGGCTGACAGCGCTAATGCGCAACACTGGTTGCCCGACAAGAATGCCAAAGTTGAGCTCAGACGTGGAAGAGTATCTTGAGCGGATCATGATGGTTGATGACCACATTGTGGAGCGTGCTGTAAGATCAAGGTTTTGAACTTATAGTCACCGCACGTAATGATGGATGTTTATAGGGCATTGTAATGGATGAACTAGACCGAGCTGGTCGAGAAGATGTACTGGAGTTGCCGAAAACAATAATTGGGGCAGAATCCACTAGGAAGAGAAGTAAGCTAATATATGTAACGTAATGATACGAAATGTCCAGAAACCTTTAGCTATTGTCAATCGAAGATTACAGTAGCGTAACCGATTACTAGCATATATCACTAAGTATAGCGAAACTCTTTCATACAGTTGTGCCCTCTCTCTGAGGCTTACAAAAATAGGTTTTTCCCTTATTTTATCATTTTTTCAGGAGCAGAAGCGGAAGCTGCCTTCCAAGAACAAATTCACTCCTCTGATCCAGGACTGGTCTTGGCCGAACGACTTCGTGCTGCTCATGAAGAATTGATAGCAGCTAACAAAGCCAGAGTATGTAGTTTCGCTTTTTCGTAAGAACGGAGTTTATCTGCCTTCCTTAAACTCTCGTACTGATACAGTACTTGTGCGGCTTATGTGTCGTCCCAACTTGTTTCATATGTGGTAGTTGTCTGCTTGACAATGGCTTCTTTTCATCTTCGTTTTATTCAGCGTGTGGCCATAAAACCGCAGAAAGAATTCGGCTTCGAGTCCTCCATTGACAACTCTCACAATGCGTTTGTTCCCAAACTACCCGTGAAACACCATGCATTACCACGAAAAGATACTTCTGGGTTTGCAATTGTAGATGAAGATCAACCCAACGGGATGGAGAAGAGGTGTTGTTGGGTCCTTTTTTGGCAATTTACTTGACATTTTGTTTTTAGCAATCTTTCTAAAGACTGTGATGCCACTGGGATACATCCATACCAATACGAAATTCAACATTTTGTTGTTCCCGAATCTCAGCTGGAGTCAAGTGGTCCCGTGGTCAGTTCCTAAGCATGTGCCAGTTTCGATTGTTACGCTCTGTGTTTAGCCCGCTTCGAGCCTGGAATCAACTCCCCTTTCATTTATTAATACAAAGGAGGCATTGGAGAAACTCAGAGATACCCTAAATGCCACAAAAGAGTTTGCTGTTGATCTCGAGGTTGATTTCAATTGGGGTCTATCAATATCTACACCAGTTACGTAATTTTTAGCACCATGATTTTCGAAGTTATCTTGGCATGACGTGCCTTATACAAATCTCAACCAGGAGCGAAGATTTTGTGATTGATCCTTTCCCGCTGTGGAATGACTTGCACATATTAAATGAGCCATTCACGGACCCAAAGATATTGAAGGTTTTTTCCTTCTTCTTTTCAATTTTCTCACTTCCACTGCTTGTTAACATATCTGCTAAAATATGTATCTTATCCGGGAACAAATAAGGGTGATGTGGTTTTGCTTGAGAGCATTACATGCTTTTACCTGGGCTGTATGCATATTACATATACTCGGGAGCTGCTACAGCAAGTAGATGGTTTGTCTAAGGTATTCCATGGTGCTGAACACGACATTGAATGGCTACAAAGGGACTTTGGAATTTATGTCGTCAATATGTTCGATACTGGCCGAGCTATGCGTCGTCTTGAGATGCAAAAATTTAATCTACGCTATCTAGTTCATCACTATTGCGACGTTTCTCTCGACAAGCGATATCAGCTAGCTGACTGGAGGATACGGTGAGTTGGAGATCGGTTTTTTTTCTGGATTTTTTTCATATACTTTTGAGGTAGACCGCTAGACGATGATATGATTGCATATGCTCGATGCGATACCCACTATCTGCTCCAGTGCTATGATTGTCTCCGCGAAGAATTATTAGAGAAAGGGGACAGATTACAGAATCTTCTTCGAGTGACCTATTCGGAGAGCGCTCTTATCTGCTCGAGGGTATGTATCTTTACTATTATGAGATGTTTTTGGGAATTTGTTTCTTTTTTCTTCTATTTTAGCCACATAATATCTGAGCAGTTATTTATTTCATATCGTATTCATTTTCTTATTCGTTGCATAACACTGAACTGTTGAGACACCGGTGTTATGTACAGCTTTCACGAAATGCTTTAGGTGTACCATAAACCAAATTTCGAGAAAGATGGTTATCGTGGACTTGAACGACGTCGCTTGAATAATCGCCAGAATGCAGCTATGCAAGTGCTTTGGTGTTGGCGAGATCAGGTGGCTCGAGAGGAGGATGAGAGTGTGCAATACGTTTTGCCTAACCATATGCTGCTCAATATTGCTGAGGTATCTCAATAGAACTTGTGACAAGGTCATACAACGAAAATGTTGCACTTTCCAGACCTTACCCCGTGAACTCCAAGGTATACTTCATTGTTGCAATCCGGTACCTCCTCTAGTCAAAGAATCTGTACACGAATTACACAAGTGAGAGGACTCGTACGAGTCTTTGACCGTTTGAAGAAAAGTTTTCCAGGATGATATTCAAATGTCGCGATCTACCGCTAATTGAGTACAAGGAAGACGCCACTGATGAAAACTTCGAGGAAGTCCTTCGCAGAAGAAAAATGCGAGGGAAATATACCAAAGAAAATATCCTTTTTGTGTAAGTGGATTAATTCTTCGGTGCTACAGTTTTGAATGACATTGTTGATACAGTTGCCCGCTCGACTTTTCACAAGCCGAGTTCGACGAAGAAAGTGGGAACCAAATGTATCGCGGTAAAAGCGTTGATGATACAACAATCGTGGAACGATCTCCTACACATACGTTGTTGTCGGTGCTGAGCTGTGCTACGGCGCTAGGAAGAGCATCGAACTCCGAAGGTGTTCACACCTTATGCGACAAGGTAAGTGTCTTCGACAATAGGTTTTCCAATAAATCTTGCAAATTTCTCAAAAAGTCTCCAGATTTTTTTTGAGGGAGTGATTGATTATTTTCCGCAGCTTATATAATTACATCTCATCATGCATAAAGATTTTCTTATGACGCAGTATACAAGGCGATCAACATTCATTGGAACTCACAGCTTTTGATAGAATTTCCGAATCTTCCTTGCTCAGAAAATGTAACTCACCAAAGCCATAATCAAATTTTAATGGTATTCAACTTTATCATGGCTCAAAATGCATAGTTTAATTTAAGTGTTTCCTTTTGGCAGCATTGCCGCATTTTATTGAAATAATAATACTGAAAAGACTAAGAACATTGAAATTATTATTGCTGTGAGCATGATCAGAAAGCTTATGATTCATTTTCTTCAGTGCTTCTTGAACCGTAATAATTTCTAGAAAATGGAGAAGTAGAATCAAGAAGTTTGTTGTGAGATTAATGGGACAATCATATAGTTCCCATTTTTATGAGAAATGCTTCTCTTCCTCACCGTAGAAATGCTCTCTTCTCTCTGGTCTCGCATACAGCTCGATTGCTTGTCTCATAATTTATGTCTTTCTTTGAATTTTTTTTCAGTCAGTGGCCGCTGAAAATACATTGAAAGAACGGATACATGCTCGTTTACAAGATTTTCCTACACCGTATGAGAGCTATACAGTCGCCACTTTGCAAGCGCAAAAACGAGAGGTAACCCTTCATCAAACCAAACTTGTTTGTTGAAACTAGGGCATTCAGGCCGAAGAAAAAGCTAAGGAGAAGGAAGCAGTTGCTGAATCTCCATCATCAACGCAGAAACTCTACACGCATCACGATGCACCCACGCAGAGGCCAGCTGCTGCAAAAGTGGTACTGCCGCATGGTTTTCTCTGGTTTTCTCCAAAATGATTTGAAAAGTCTTTCTTGTATTTAGCGAGGTATCGAGGCAAGCATCGATCTGAGAGACAGTGATCAGATGGCATCTTCGTTTAGCGATGCACAACTATTAACCAAAAAGGAGCTGAAACGAGCCAGACAAGTGGTTAGTCAAGCTTTATCAGTCGAGCGTTGATATTTTGTTGCATGCACGATGTTCAGGCGCGGAAAAATGTGGACATCTCTACTGAGATCAAAGATGAAGGACCTTCTTATACAGTGAAGCGTATCAAGGTGGAAGAGGAAAAGAAGCAGGAAACTGAACGAGTTGAAGCATTTGATTACTCACAGTTTGATGCTAATATGTTCAGTGAGTTTAATCATTATTGAACTTTTGTGGCAAACTTTCTCGTTTACTTAGTCCCTTCTGTGGTTTGCAAAAAGATCGTGCTTTCGAGTAAATGAGATCTGTTTTTACAGAACTTGTGACAACAGATTATTAGCTAGTCAAGCCTTTTTTTATCAAATAAAATGGGTGAACTCTTCGACATTGGCCTGTTTGAAACCGACATCGCTGGATCAAATGCAACTTGCTCAAACGCTGAACCTGAGTTGGTTAACTAATATATGGTATTAGCGCTTTTATCTTTTCATGCTGATGGTTACTGTAACAGCTGCGTTCACTGGTTATGGGGTTAACCGATACTCCCCTATGTTTGATACCGTTATTAGTTTCATTCGCCTTTCATTCTGTCTATCTTAATCTCACATGCAACATAGCTCTTAGACGCCATAATTTTTTGGTGAAAGCAAAGCAAAAAGGACTCGACCGAAGGAAGGGTTGATGCGGGGGAGAGGAGGAAATGTAACTAATATACACCCGGGATTATGATCATTTTCCTGTCTTCTTGTAATTCGCGACCGCTACATATTTTGTCTCGTCATGTGTGTTTCCAGTCTTATTTCTGTTTCATACCCGCATGCATTATAGAATTTTATTTAAGAGTTGCTTTTTGAAATATTCGTTCTTCTTTCAGATAAGCGGCCAGGAGATTCAGACGAATCATTCGATCCATTTAATCAAAAGTTCCGCGTTGAGAACAAGAAAAACATACGAAGAAGAGGACGAGGTGGTCACCACAGGATGGGCACAATGAGCATAGGTTACAAACCCAAGACTACGTGATCCTAAAATTCAGCATTTGATTCGCCATGAAAGTAAGAGTGATTGAGATGTGCTTAAAAAATCTGTTCATTAGAGTTTGTTGCAAGTTGTTGACAGAGATTGTTATTGTTGTTGAAATAAATGTATCGTTATCTTATTGCAGCATTGTTTATGCAAGCATTCGAAAATATCTGCATTTTATGAAGTACAAGGAGAATTTAACGAATCTGTCAGTCAGTATGAGTGTTACTGGACGGTTGCGAACGATGAGATGTGAACTAGGCTATCTTCGTCGAGCAGATGGATCTTGTTCTTACTCGCAAGGGAAGACCTCTGTATGGGCTAGTTGTTCGGGACCTGGTATGCCTCTTTCGCGATAGAATCAAAACTGCAACATTTGCTGAAGACCGTATCGAATCAAAGTTCAAGACCTTTTTTTATCAGTTTTGATCTTTTTGGCCTTTTATGTCTTTTTGGCCTTTTATGTCTTTTTGGCACGAATTTTTTGCAGGCGATATTCATGTTGCGCGGAGAGAGGACGACCAGATGCATTTGGATATCAGCTTTCGACAGTTGCATGGAGACTGCCAATATCATTACGTAAGCCATCTTATTATCTTTGTCATATCATAATGTCCTTAATTTAGCTAAATAACATCATTCAAGCTGCTTTGGAAACTGTTTTAGACTTGGAGATGTTTCCGCGGACTGGACTGACGGTATTTTTTTTAGCAGTGTAGTTATTGATGAGATTTTAAAACCAACTGGATTGTATCGACAGGTAACGGCCCATCTTTTACAAGCAGATGGTAGCATCGGCGCCACGGCATTGACTGCAATCGGGCTGGCGGTGTTGGACAATGGAATTGTCATTCGGTAAGCTTCAGTGACGATGCAAGACATTTTTTTGGACGGAAAGGGGGAGGGGGCAGATATGGACAGGAATTTTTTTCCAATTTAATAGGCATGGTTCTGGCCTCGGATCCGAACATTTTATGATGTTTTCCAGATTTTTTGCTTATTTTTGACCTAGATTTTTCGATGAAGAGTTATGCTTTCTGCGAAGCTAAAAAAGCAGTCGCTTGCGCAATTCAGTAGCGATATGTGTATTTACATATCAGGGAACAGAAAGTTCTGTCGCTTTGATTTTGAAAAACTCGCAACTACTCCCTATGTGAACGGATTTGCTTACGAAAAATCTATAACATTTTCGCGTTCTCTAACGACTGGCTCAGAGATAAGAATTCGAATAGGAGAACCGCTCTGACTCTCGATTTTTTGAATAAATCGTCAAAATCCTTAACGCTGCAATATGATTTGAAAGCAGGTTTTTTACAGTTTACGTAAGCTGCTCCTTCTAACTGCCAAGTTTACGGTAATCGAGCTTTTTTCTGGACAGTTATGATTTTCGAAAAAAAATGCGAAAAATGCAAGGAAAAATTCTAAATGCAAGGAAATCAATAAAGATATTTACCATCTTGGTCGCGCTCAAAGAGGAAATTGATAGCAAGTAAAAATATTTTTGCCGTTTTTGCACTTTCTTCAAAAATCGTAGTCTTTCATAGGAGCTCGGTTAGCACAAACTTGGCATTGTTTGAAAGACCAGCTTACGAAAATGTGTGAAACATGCTTTCAGTTTTCTGCAGCGTTCCAGATATTTGACGATTTATTTTTAAAAGAGGTTAGAGTGGTCTTCCTATTCGAAATTTTATATTTGGAGTCCCTTGTCATCAAAGAGCAACAAAGATGTCATTAGAAAATGTGAACTTTTCTTTCTGTCAAATTTTTTTGTAGGCAAATACATTTACATCAGTGGCGTACCGAGGGGGGGGGGGCAGGGGGGGGCGCCCCCCCCCCCCCCCCGAGAATGGGTCGCGAAATTTTTGAAAGTTACTTATATGGGTTACAAAAATGTGGAAGTGACTTGTTTGTTTTTGTAAGTAATTAAAATAATTTTTAAAAATTTTTAAAAAATCAAATTAGCCTTATATAAAAAAAATTTTTCGGAGTGCGTGGCTAACGTCACGCACCTTCATTTGGAAAAAAATTTTTGTCGCCCCCCCCCCGAGCGGAAATACTGGGTACGCCACTGATTTACATATGGAGCAGTTACAAATTTTTTAGAATCAAGGTGACAGAACTTTCGCTTCAACCTGAAATACCTTGCGATCCATCCTCGGAATGATGGGCGAATGTTGCCATTTGTAAGCTTCTATTAGCTCTTCTCATTTATTTAGTACATAAGTCTTGCACCAAAAATTGTGAAAAGTTTGTTAAAAAAATGTTTTGAATAATACAGGGTGTCCCAAAAGTATGTATCGAACGTTTGATCGTTAATATCTCTTTTCCCAAGAAGTCTTTTGCCTTGCTTCAAGTACCATTTTGTAGAGCTGGCTTCAACTTAGATTTGCATTAAAGAACGAATCACCCATCTCTCTTCATTACTGTAGGATTACGGTAGAAACTTGAAACATATGGTGTCAATGTGGAAAAAGCTGCAGTTCCAAAATTCTTCAAAAAATTGTGAAAACTTGTGTAATAGGGTTTTTATGGATGCTGAGTTCAATACTCAACTATTCACAAGATTACAAAGCTTTCTAAACGGTGTAATCGCACTTTTTAGGAACATTGAAAAAATGGCCGCTACCTCTTACCTGGCATAACTCCTCAATGAAGCATCATAATAAGTTGGGAACTTTACAGTTATAATCAGCAACTCTAATTAGCCTAGTGTGAAAACTTTCAGGCTGTTTTATTTCCTTTCTAAGGCAAAATATGGCCTTTCATTGCTTAAAACCCTCTTTGAAGTTTCTACCGTAATCCTACAGTAATGAAGAGGAATGAGTGATTCGTTCTATAATGCAAATCTAAGTTGAAGCTAGCTCTACAAAATGGTACTTGAAGCAAGGCAAAAGACTTCTTGGGAAGAGAGATATTAACGATCAAACGTTCGATACATACTTTTGGGACACCCTGTAGATTTACATACTTTTAGCAATCTGAGCGGATGGATTTGAAAAAAAAATTGTTTTTGAGTGCTTTTTTATACAGTTTATATCGTTGCCATATGCGAACACATTTCCAGACACTCTTTGAAAGCGCAAGATTATTTCTCATATGTATCACACCAAACTATTTCGTTGAAATTGGAGTATTGTAAAAAATCATAAAGCTAAACTTATGTGCCATCTATATCCGACATCTTAGTGCAAGTGAAATTGTATTCATCTCGATTATTCGTGAAGTTGTAATTGACAGCTTTAGAAATCTTCTGCTTCGGAATTTCCTGTGAATTATCTGCATTTAGAGTGCAAAAGTTATTTCTCATATTAGAGTGAAGTGCATAAGCAATCGTCTTCTCAGAACAAAACTTTATGCAGACATTCCAGAGCTCCATTCTGTGGGGTAGAAGTTTGCGAAGTTGATGGTAAATTAGTTTTGGATGCAGATGCGAGAACAGAGTCGAAAGCGACAGCTCATTGGCTTTTTGTGTTCACGAGAACAGCGGAAGTAAGCTTACTTACACTCGAAATTTTCCATAATTTCGCAGCTTCTTATCAGGGAGACGCCGAAATGATTGCGTCGGATTCAGTTGGACCATTCAAAATGGCCACATTCGTTAACGCCCTCAGCCTAGCCCGAGAAGGAGCGAAGCAAATCTTTACCTTTTATAAGGAGATGATCGAGCGGAAGCATAGTGTTGATGTCCTGCCATAATTATGTGGTATTTCTTGTTGTTGTTGTTGTTTTTATTTGAGTATGTATATAAATATTTATGAATAACAGACACTGATTCGTAACAAAATTGCTTTGAACCCCTGGTACCACGTTTTTGAGTGAAGCATATGAACCCGAAGATAAAAAGCAAATAGGGCGTGGCTTTCAAGTTCAATGAAAGTTGAAACGGTTTGGCTTCAGGGAGAACCATAAGAAGGGAAGTCATACACTCCGCTTGGATCGGATCCTAAAAGAAACGTCATTCAGCGAATTATTTACCGGAAAAAAAGCTGCCACGTACTTGCAGCTCTTTGTTCAGCCATCCATTGCCTGAGATAAACCGCAAAATCTACGGCATAGATAATAAAGTTAGCAAAGCATGAGAACTGAAATTAAATTGATCAGTTATGTACTGAACACTCGTGATGAAATATACGACTGACAATAAGATCTGCGCTAAACTCGCAGATTGATTTGATTTTCTATGTAATTTGTCTACGAATTCTCATGCAAGAATTTTATTCACTCTAATTTTTTTCTCTAACTCTTCTGTGTAATGTACTTTAGCGACATGCACTCAAAGCATTGAAATTTATCGGATATTCATAATAGTTATCTGAGATTAATTCATCATTTTGGTACGTGATATGCAGAAAATCTCATAGATATAAATTTTCCGCCCTTGATATCTACCCAATGCAAGAGCGAGAGCAAAGCCACTTGAAAAACGGATGAATTGTGAGCAGGAAATCGTGTAGAAACTTGTTTATAATTTACATATTCGAATGCCTTCCCCCAATAAAGCAATCATTCAAAAGCTATCTCAAGAGTACAAACAGCGTATCTGACTAGTCTGTGCAGAAATTATCAGATTTTATAATAGAGAATTTCTCAGGTTACTGTGAGTTCAGGAGCTGTTGCATTCGAGCAGGAAGTGGACTACTCAATCCACAACTGCTGGCACATTGGTCAAGGTACAATAGCGGGGTAAGGGGCTATATGTCGCGGTTAGGCTTCACCCCGCTCTGACAGCCGGTACGAATCTGTTTAAAAAGATGACGCAACTAAAAGATACGAAAGACAGACCGAAGTGGCACTGTAGTGCTCGCAAAATGACTGCTTGCATATTGCAAATACGAATTACTCACAGCTGCAAGGTAGAACCATGAACTACCCGAGAATTCTTCGCCATTAACGCATAACCAGATGCAGATAAAGTAAAATATGCTTAACATCAGCGAAGTGAAGCATTCCTGCAGATCTTTGTGTATCTTCTGGGCACAAGGTCTATTATTAGCACTTACTAACGATGAATGTGAAAGGCCTCTGACAGGGATTTCGATGCGTTCCAACTCGAACAGAAGTATGGCTATAATCGCTAGATCGATCAGCAGTGCGATTATCACTGTGAACCATATCAAGGATGAACCTGGAATGATATATTAAGTGCTGCGTTATAGAAGCAGAAGAGTACTCTCCTCTTCCTACGAGCATTACGCTCAATTAGGAGTCCTTTCTATTTATTTATCTTGAAATGTAAAAGCATGTTTATTCAGCTTTTTGCTAACAAGAAGATAAATCACAACAAGCTGCGACCTTTCACCTCGCTTTTGCCGATATTCTTATTTTGCTGCAGACAACTATGCATTAGTTCAATATCAAGGTCGAAGCAGCCATAGATAGTTGATATTTCGAATCTTGAATGCATCGAACCATAGGCTCTTATTCAATTTTAGAAAAATTAGCGCATGGATAAACATGTAGGAATTTGTTAAGAGAGTAGAAATCTTTAGAAAGCAAGTGTAAGTGACACCTCTGCTATTAGTTTTTTCTGGAGAAAGTTGCATCAAAGAAACATGTAGGATTCTGAAAAATTCTTTTTATGGTTGCTCAAATAAATGCGTTGTCACCTAATTTCATTACTGACTGATGACGAAAATCTGCACGATCAGCAAAGATGAGATGGATTTAATTATGAGCAAAATTTTTATGCAATCTACCTACTGTAGCTTACAAGAAAATATTTCAATTCTCCGTTTCGTTTATTTCCTTACATGGAGTAATGGATCTATAGGCTCTCCCCGGAACACCTCAGTAAGAATGGAGACGGGAGTTTTGAGCCTTGGTTGGGAAATAGCTATGAGAAGAATTTGAATACATTTAAAATTAACTTACATATCGAAAATTCCAATGCATAATCTATCTAATAGGTTGTACCGAAAGTTCTTTCGCACCAAATTCAAAAATTCATAACTTGTTGAATTCTCAGCGAATTTGTATGATCAAAATTTTGCGTAAAAGAGGAACTCATGCTCTTTGCATTTGTATCTGTATTGTTCGTTAATGTGTACAAATGAAGGAGATAGAAGCTCAAAACCAAAATCACTCAAAATTTGAATTTTTCGTGTAGGGTCATAAATCGGAAACTTGCAACAAAAATCGGAGCAGTCGGTATTGTAGGTTTTTTCACCAGCTCTTTCTAAAGGTGCAAAGTTTCCGCCGATTGAGCGTCTCTATGAAAAGTTACGATTTTCGAGCAAGCAATACAAAAAAGCGATTTTGATTTATTTTGGCATTTTTCAGGGAAATCGTAACTTTTCACAGAGGCACTCAATCAGCGCAAACTTTGCAGTTTTAAAAAGAGCTGGCAAAAGTACCTACAATACCGACTGCTATGATTTTTATTGCAAGTTTCCGATTTTTTATGACCCTACACGAAAAATTCAAATTTTGACTGATTTTGGTTTTTAGCTTCTGTCTCCTTCATTTGTAAGCATTAGCGAACAATTCAGGTACCGGTGCAAAGAGCATGAGTTCCTCTCTTATGCAAAATTTTGAACATACAAGTGCGTTGAGAATTCAACAAGTTAAGAATTTTTGAATTTGGTGCGAAAGAGCTTTCGGTACAACCTAATATGATACACTCTATCATATGATATTTAGTATAACCCAACCATATTGAGGAAAATAAAGATAAAATGAGACGTGCTTGTGTTTTTGTGAGCAAATTTAGTTGTTATGATATTCAGTCATTTTGGTAGATTTAGTTCAAATAATGCCATTAATCGCGCAATTTTTATCTATGCCATGGCCAAAATAAGTCAAGCAATCTCTAGGATCAAATTGAAAATTACATGCATTTTTGGAGCGTTTGAATATTTGAGCTAGAGATCTGTTTTCTTATAATCCAAAGAAGCTGAATATTTCTGTAGGATTTTTCATCTAGGTGAGTTCGACTCTATTGTGTAGAAAAAAACGTGCCTTAATTAATGAACTCTCTCTCTGCGAATGCCCTGTAAAAGGGTTATCTTGAACGAGGTCAATGAGCTCAATCATAGGGGTAAGAATGACTGACGGCCCAGAATATAATAGGATTAGAAGAGAATTTAAATGAAGTTTCCTTGAATTATTGCTACAAACATGATTCGGATTATGAGTTCGCCAAGTCAGTAGTTCGAAAACAGCGAAGCCTGATTTGTCCATTACTCAATATACAATAACCTTCGCACTTGCGCAAATAGCACTCTCTGCACTTTTTTCCTTATCGGATCAACTCATCATACTTAATCTCTAACAAGGCTAGGTTCAATACCTCCAGGTAGTAGTGGCGCTCCTGTAAGTGAGATCAGAGTGGCAAGTGAGAAAAACTGGAAATAAACGGAAGAAAAATTTGTCTCTCTCGATGAAAATCTATGTTAGACTGACCACTGTGAGCACTTTGAAAAAATAAGGGAATTCTGTGAAACGGGAGACATATAACGGCATCTGAAATGATAAGTTATCATTGATAACTTTTCACTAAATTTGTGACAAGTTAACCATTAATGCATGTAATATATACAGATTACGTCCTTAACAGATGTTAAAGATGGGTGCTCTAGAATTTACCCTGTGTAGAAAGGAGTGTAGAAAAAATAGAAGAAAGGGATACGGCAACATTTTATCGATGGAGCGAAAGCAATTTTAGTTTTTTTATGTGATAGAAGAAAAGGCAAGCTGCATGTCTTTTGTACAACTCGGGTAAGAATGTTGTTTGTTAATCTGATAACTAATCTCTTCGTTTTTTAGCAAGCCATATCGCTCTAAATAAATGTTCCAAACAGCTTCAAATCCCGCTTTCAAAAAGCTTGCAGGTAATACACAAGCCTTTACGTGCACTTTCGAATCAAATCAACGAAGCCAATCTCTTTGAAGATGAAATACAATGACAAACAAGAAAATAACGGCTCGGAAAAATCGCATGAATAGTGCACCAGCCCATTGAACAATTCGCATAAAGTATCACGTATTTATGTAACTAGATTGTGAAATCGATCAATATCATCAAACTGCAATACGAAACGAAAAAAAATTCATGAGGTGTGGAATATTTCAGAGGTGCTTGGAGAGTGTAATTGATGTAAAGACTCATTACAATGAAATTGCTTTCACTTTGTATGTAGGACGAAAATTTGCCTGCTGCTCGTAGCTGAACTGGCGAAGGGCCTAGGACTACTTTTTTCAGAAGTGCTATGTAAACAGTCACACAAATTCAGTCTCCTGATCTCAGCACAGAACATTTTGTGCTCAATATGCTGTTTAGAAGAATCTTGGAGCTTCAGTGAAGGTAAATATGACAATCCATAACGCATACAACACTTAGTTATCTTATAAGTTCTGCCCTTGTTTTTTTTTCTCACATTTGAAATGCTGTAACTTATTCAGAATCACTATTTTTCCACGGTCTCAGATTTGTGAGGTTGGAAAGTGATTACAAAGAAAAAGAAGCAAATATTCAAAAGCTTTCACAAAAATTCTTGAAAAACTCCCTTTTCACATAACCATGCCTCCTCATAAGAATTAACAGGCGTTTTTCGTGACAGTCATCGGTAGAGCCCCAAAAATTCAAAAAGTATGGCATTTTTCTGTGGGCACATAAAAACTAGGAAATATCAGATGCTAAGGTTCAAACAAAACGGAGGAAAATCCAAAGAGTCTTTGCTAGCCGGAAGGAGTAGATGTTTTTGCATAAAATATTTTTTCCAGTAAATGCGTAGAAGAACTTACGAAGGCAACATCCTTGGCAGCCTGTTTTTGTGATCTAATTCTGATTAAAGCCATTTTTTGGGAAGCTTTAAAAAGAGGAAAAACGCTCTTTAGAAAGTAATCGTTAGTGGTGCAAAACACTATTGCGAAACTGAAACCTGCGCTCCATTTGGGCAGAAAGAATACTTTCAAACCACGCAGTATCCTGAAAGCAGCGGTTCTTTGAAGCGAACTCAAATGCTATTTTGCCTATCGGAAATACTAGAAAAATTCTCAAGAATCATAGCGATGAGTACTAAGTGTCTTATACAGGACTCGGCACGAGCTGGCACCAGGGATATTTCAAAACGAAATCCAGTTTGATCTCAAAAATTTCGTACGAAGTCCCCTTTGACCTGTTTTGAAGATCCATCATTATTTTTAGAGTATATAAAAGCATGTAGAAGGGTTTTAATGCATGCTGATTTCATGGAACAACTTTTCACAGCTTTCTGAGCGTTTTAAGTGGTTGAATCAGATGTTGAGAAGCAGAAAAAGCCGATTTTTCGACTGCGGAGCAGATCGAGCAATTTTCAGATGGCTATAAAACGCTGAAAAGAAAACGTTATGAAATTGTTTCTTCTTTATATGTAAACTTTTGCGGTTCAGATACGTTTTGTATAAAAGAATATGAAAACTTATGTGAGCAAAGTGTCGGTGCCAGCTCAGCTGGCACCCAGCTGGCACGGTGCCAGCTGATTCAGGAAAAGGTTCAGCACAGCTTTCATTCACATAAGTTTTCATGAATTTTTGGGCCATAGTTCGGGTCCCCCAACGCGCATGCACACATTAAATTTGGTGTCATGTCATTGCGTTTTGGCTGAAAACAATGCCTTTGTTTGTTTGATGTACGGCATGCCGGTGGCGTGCTGGCGGCATTCTTGCGGTCTACTCCGCCCCGGACCCCAGAAAAACGATATCCAGCTTGACCCGGTGCCAGCTGTGCCGAGCCCTGGTCTTATAGAATAGCCAGGTAGCAACCCACTGCTATATTACTAATACATTAAGCAGATGAGTGGAGGGTTGTATGAGGACGAAACCAAAAATGGTAGAAAATGATTTTCAATTGAATGGACTCCAAATTTGAGATTGATGTACCGCCAATTGCGAATGCTTGAATGACCGGAATTATTACGAGTTATATTTGAGTTTTTCTAGTGATGTCAAGATTCTAGAATTAACAGTAGACAGTGCTTCTTTGATGAAAAAACCAGACGAAAGGACTACGAAAAGGAATAATGACAACAAAATCAATGGTTGCAAATGCTTTCGATTAGATAAGATAGTGAGCCTCCTTATGCAACACCTGCCAATCAATTATGGCTTTCTTTTCGCAATTTTTCGTGAATGATTTCGCAATCTACTTTTTTCTTTTTCTCTCTGATCGAATTTAACAAATGCGATTAAAGGATACCAACCTGGATCTCTGGCTTTTGGATCACAAACACTGACAATACTCGTTATGTTTATTTCAAGAGCGGCAGAACAAATTTTACACAAGATATGACAAAATCAGAGCAGTGCAATGAAGATCATCTTTGTAGTCGCTGAGCGGTTCCTTCTACTTCTTTCTTTGTGTCTGACTCATACTTCTGACTGGATGCTTCCACTCGCATGATGAGGTGATCTGAAGAACAATTGTTGATTTCAAAATTTTCAAAAGAACAATGGCAATAAGTAACAACAGTAATCATAGCAATAAAATCACACAATTAATTGCACTGTACTAAGTTCATGCGATGCAAAAAAGTCGGTTGCTATTGTTTTAACTAGTTATTGAACAAAATGTTAATCATTCAAAGATACGTCTTCTATTTTATTTTATTATTATTATTGAATTCCAAGTTCCATTTTGCCTGAATGTGAGCATTTATGGCTAAATTTCATTCATTTCAATCATTCGTTCGTTGGCATCCCATGCCATTGATTATACCATTCTAACAAACCTGTATGGCACAGCAAGATTGAAAAGTATCTAAAGAGTTCTGTGAAAATTGAGAGAAGTGTTTAGGGAAACAAGGAGAAAGAAACGAAAAGGTACAAAGGCCAAAGATAGCTCTGGTGAGCAGATCCGAGATTTTCGAGAAGTGAAAGGGGAAGTCCTCCAATGAGTTGTACTGTGTATTACATACCTGAACAAATCCGATGCATCAACCCGAGAGCTCTCACTACTCCTCGATGAATTCACTCCAAGAGCGCCAGAAGTCGCAAAATAGGCAGCATTGTTGTAGCTGTAAAGTCAAGGTAAAGCTTTGTTAAGGTGAATTTCGCATGCCAAGCCGTTATACACTAGCAATGGATTAAAAAGCTGAAGCGTTAGAATGCAACCTTCACCAAGCGTTGAAAGCTAAATTTTCAAAACCTTTGATCATTTCGTCAGTTGCTGACCAGCTGCATCCAGGGGTTAGTCAAAAAATTTTACGAGATTCAGGTAACTTTCATTTATATAAACTGTACGAAAATGTTATTTTGTACATATACCAGATTACGACCTTAGCAAACCGTAGAAAATGTCCACCTTCCCAGGAATATTTGAGTTGATGCAAAATCAATGCACGCCTTATTCCGCTGCGGCAGAGATTATTCAAAAATACATGAAGTGAGCAAGATCTTTTCGACGGAGTCCTGATTCGAGTATTGGAAGTTCTTAGATTTTTTCGCAAAAATCTCGAACCTTTTGTGATTATTTGAAGCTATTTATAGAGATTGCGTTGCTCATCGGATAGTGTGCATAAATTTTTATATTATCTCTGCCTCGGCAAGCTAAGGATTATGCGCTGATGAATCAGCCTGATAGATGATTTAGCTTCGTAAAAAAATATAAAATTTCGGAAAGGATAACAGCTTCGAAGTAATAAGATGATAATTTCTTTCAGTCTGACAAGAAATTTTGCTTTTGTCTGCGTACAAATAAACACATAAATATATAAATATAGAAACTGGAAAGTTGTAAACTGAACTTCGGGATTATATGCTTCCACTGAGACGTTTTGTTGTCTGGAAGGATGTTAGACCCACAGTTTTTTTCTTCACAAAAAAGCTTGTAACCTTGCTTACTCAGCTTGCAACAACATAATTTACACTTTCTACAATTTTCTTTTTCAGTGGAAAAATTGATTATTTTCAAATTTTTTGATGAGCAGCGTGATTGGAGCAGCCGACAAGAATGATTTAAGGTGCTCTACTCTTCAGAATTGCCGCAATATCTCGAATAAGAATAGTGGGTAGCAAGATTTCAAAAAAAAAGAAGAGAGCATTCAAGATACAACGGTAATTCAAAGGTCTAGCTTACTACCAAATTTTGCTGTTACCTAATACTATGATCAACTTGTGTTGGTGAGGGAATAGGCGGCAGAGGTGTTCCGGTTCCGCCGGCGCTAAATCATTCCCCACTTTCAACTATTATCTACACTGTTAAGAAAAAGTAGCTAGTCAATCACGACACGTTTGGCGCTTCACGAAAACTCACCGAGGCGGATGTGACAGCTGTGGCGCTTTTTTCTCGCCATTTCTCGCCAATGACGAGCTGTAATGATCCTTTTTCACATATAATCTGCAACATAGCAAACATTCACGTGTGACAAGATATTTTAAGTGGGAGAAGCGGACAAAAAAGTCGATGAAAGCTAGAGATGTTGGAGAAATTGTACAAGTAGGTTGCGACAGCTGAGACAGCATTAAGTCCAAAACTCGTTCTTTTCCCATAGGATTAGAAAATGTAAAAGATTATGTAATCTATGTATTTGCTCGAAAGACTTCGAATGACTTGCCAAACAAGCCTCCCGCATTTTTCGTCAGCCAAAAAGGTATAGACCGAGCACTCTCGAAGAATGCTAACGGAATAATCTTCAACGCTCTCTATCAAATATGAAGTTTACACAAAACGAAAATTTTGTAACCTTCTGAAAACATTATAGTTCTAACAAGGAAAGCATGTTTATTCGAAGTGGCCTTTTCAGATGTGCTGTCTACCATATTAGAGGGCATCAAATGCCGATTCTAAATCTGCCCTTATCTGCAGAACATTTATGGACGAGGAGTTATGAGCGCTTATCGGAGCAAAAAATTAATTGTCACAAAAATAGTCGTAACACTTTTTCTAGCTCGTCTGGAGAGTGATAATCATCAGAGCACTTTATTCGAAAAATACGGTAAAGTAAAAAATATATCACACTTGGTTGCATCATATGAGAGCTAGTGAGACTTTAGCAACTCATTTTATTCAAAATGTACATTCAGTATGTCGCTCCAAAAAACGCTTATAACTTCTGGTCCATAAATGTTCTGCAGATAGGGAAGGCAGGTTTGGAATCAGCGTTTTATGCCCTCTAATATGGTATACATCCCATCTAGAAACTTCGACCAAACGAGCCTCCCTTGTAAGAGCTGTAGATGTATGCAGAAAAGCTACAGAGGAGTATAGATAATTTCGCTTATATCTATGGCCCAAATATTTACAAGAATATGTGGATAACAAATAAGTTCTTGATACTTTTTCGTTAATTTTAGGCATTACGCAAAAGTGTACCAAACATAAGCTGAAATTAAACAGTGTGTAGAGTTCAACATTGAAGGAGTTGATAGAACCAAAACCACTTATCCTCAAAGACAAGTGCGATCAGGCAAAATCACAATGGTGAAGTTCACTGTGCAGATTTTTCCGTGTTATTTATGAGTCAAATTTTCTTTACAAATAATCCAATTCGATCTAATTTCAGTTTGATTTTCAAATAATCCAGTCGCACTTCTTATTGCTCTGGTATTTTCTTTTTTTTTCTCTGAAATATGGAGCCAGAATCTATCGTTTTGCGGTCATCGTCAAATAGACTGTCAGCCTACATTCTAACGAACAAAAGCAAGAAACCTAGAAAGTTCTGGAAAGGCTTACATCAGAGCATGTGCTGAAAAAAGTTAGGAGGAGTGACTTCTAAGCATTTCTAGCGTTTACGTCACTCCTGGACGTTCTCAACAATTACGTTTGAAAAGATGTAAATGAGCGAAATACATGCAAAAAAGACTCCAGTAAGCATTACCAATATCTTTTTTCTACAAATTTAGGTGCTCCAGGAAGGATCCAATTCTGCTGAAGATTTTCACTTTCCCAGCTACTAAATACTTTTCTCCCCATTCCAAAGCAGTATTCTGCCTTCACTTTTCGGTTCTTGAGACGCTCCTCGCGCACTTTTTCCCTTTGGAAAACTCGCGCGAAAAGCCATAGAACTTGACGGCGCACTAATTTCACGCTCACCTCGTCTTTTTCTGTGCTGGACGTAGCTTTTCGATGAGCACAGCGATCGATTCGCTTAATGGCGTACGTTTTGCCATAAGAAGTGCGCAGATGACGATTGGAAGAAGTCGAAGTACCAGTAGAGTAGTGAGAAGAGCGCGAGGAATGAACGAAGACTCGATTTGAGGATCGCAGGTATTCTGGAGAAGTTACGTTGTTTTGGGAGAAAAATTGATGGCTTTGGAAATAGTATCTTACCCGAGGATTCAGCCGGCGTTTGTTGGCTGCGTAGAGATTATGATCAAAAGTACATCCCAAACGCTGCTCCATCTGCATCAAACCTCCCGGATTGTGAGGAATAGCATGGTTGAGTAACTAAAATGCGGACGAGATAGCCAATATGAAAAGAAAAAATAAGTCCACTAGTAAATGAAAGGACGAAAGTTGCAAATTCTACCTGTTCAGTGGCATTTGGAAGGTGACCGGAATACGGTGAAAGCATAAAAGTGAATAAGTGCACTTCACAAATGCAGTACAGAATGCCGACACAGAGAACAACCTAAATTTGGCTTTGAAAATAAAAATCCATGAGTTATGCTGTAGAAACGAACCCAGAAGATGATACGTGCAGGACTCTTCGATACATCGGTGGTGAAGTAAATCAGTGCCGCAATGATGAGACAGGCATAGCAGACCAAATCACCCAGCAGGTAGCAACCAAGGATCGTTTTAAACTGAAAGATTGGAGAATGACCTGATTTAAGCAGATACCGAATACACTCAGACAGGCGTAGGTATTGAAGTCCTATTTGAAAGCTCTTCTGAACGCTAGCCACTAACAAATACTACCATTTCGAATCAGTTTTCGAATCAGAACCTTGAAGTATTGATTGTGATAAAATCTTCCAGGTTTAGAAAAAGTAAGCAATTGCGAGTGTTTTGTTTCAAGGATTCACCACTGCTAATAATCATTTCTCCAGGCAATTTATTTGTTGGCTGCAGTTCTAAATTTTTTTGCTCATAACCCTTGTCTTCCCGCCATTGAAAGCGCTCTACCTTTTTGTCCCTTGCAATTACCGCTTTACTGGTTGCACCGACAAAAAAGATAGCTGTGAGAACTTGATGTTTTACGTGAAGCGTTTGAAGAAGAAGGATAATTTTCTCGAATTTCCCTAATCCCACATTTTTCACCAAAAATTTGAACTGGATGTCTTCACAAAATACTGTGATACCCCATTATTGTTCCTTTACTTGATGAGCCAGCTTAAACTCTTTCTCCCGGCCTTGTCTGTGCGACCTCCATAGAAAAAAAAACATTGATTTCTCTTTCGACAAAAATTTCATTCCTTCATCTTCAACGGAGGAAAATGACCTCTCCGGCTGTTTGCGCTATAAAATTGCATGATTTTCGAGGGACAACAATGCCAAGCAGCGTATTCGAATGGCTCGGACAATTTCCGTCAGCTCGCTCTACAATTCACTGTAAAAAAAGCGCTTCAGAATGACCTTTGAAGGGCTTGGCCGACGCGGAATCTGGAGCAAATGTTCGAGTCGACGTCAAGCGACTCGAGCCATTTAAACCACTGGGAATTGGGTTGAGGAGAATTTAAGGCGATTTATGGGGCCTAGAAAAACATGTCGGACGTTCAGTTCGACGTTTGATTGTATTTAAATTCATCTGAAGAGGACATTGAAGTGCACGAAAAAAATCGAAAGTGTTACTCTTTTCCGAAAGTGAATTCGCAAAAGGGAAAAGGAACATGAAAGGATGTGCACATTGGCGGTAAAAATTTTTCAAGCTCTTGGTAGAATGTGCAAGCAGATTTTTCTATCCATCGAATGCTTTTCTGAAGTAGAAGATTCTTATTCGCTTTTCTTTGAACCCAGAAATTTTTGCAGTCTCAAAATTATTATTTTGAAACGGGTTGATCACTCTAAGAATAGATTTTACCCGAATGTCTTACCGTCCTCTGTTCGCCTAGCACTTCGATCTCTTTGTCGTTTAACTGGTATAATCCAAGCATGTGATTATAGTTGATTTTCGATATACTGATAGTTTTATCCAAGTAATCGATGATTTCTTCATAAACTGCTCGGTCTCTATAGTAGTAAACACACAAGCAAATAAGGGAGACCTGCAAACAAGACTAAAATTTCCAAATGCAACTAAGGTCTGTCTATCAACTTACGAATAATGAAAGACCTAGAAGAAAGCATAGGAATACACCCAAAGATTCTCGCCACGTTTGAGCCTAAAAAAGTTGATTTGTGGATTTCTATAAAAATGCAGAAACAACCAACTCCTTTGAAAGTGACTTTATTCTGTGGATTGTAACTTGATGACCGAGGTGGCAATGGCGGGTTGAACATCTTGCCACAGCCAATCCGCTAGCGATCCTCTGATCGGAATGGGAGCAGAAGTGGCCGGGCAGCTGATTGGATTTTTGATAATTTGTGCTGGAAAGATAGGTCTATAGGGAATCATATGAAATGGTTGTATTATGGTTAATACGAAGAAAGAATTAGGGACATCGGTGATGGGATCTATACGGGGAATGATGCTTTTGGCAGGCATTCAAGTGTAACAGTGCAGGTGCAGTGTTATACAAAACTTTGGTTTTAAATCAATGATATGGCTTCTGTACTGCTTTTCTCAGCCATTCGCTAACAAAGCATGAGTGACAAAACTAAAGTGAAGTGCTATTCTATAATAGAGGACATAGCGAACTCAGCATGACTTCGCTGAGATTCAAGCACAGATTATAAGACCAAAATACATTTTACCATGAGAAAAAAAACTTCTAAATGCTGAGCAAAACGAAAGGGAAAGCTTGAGTTTGGTAGATGCAGCTAGTAAGCCAGACGAAAGCAGCACTTCAACAATCCAACTATAACGAAGCCATACTTAGGAGCTGTACGGAGTGAATATTGAAAAGTGCTCAGACAAATCACCGGAACTTCCGCAGGACAAGCCAAATTCAGAAGTTCCGCAGGATTTTGTTCACTATTGCAAAAATGAAAACGTCGACCGGAACTTTCGCGGGATTTTCATGCCAAACTGGTTGAAAACCGGAACTTCCGCAGAACCTTCTTCAAAATCCCGCGGAAATTCCGAAAAATGCCAGAGGCTCCGCAGCACTTTGGCCTGCCAGAACTTCCGCAGCACGTTGACGGAACTTCCGCAGGTGACCCGGCGGATTTCCACAAGCGCTCTGCGGAAGTTCCGGTCATTTGTCTGAGTGGGTAGAAATGTTTTCTCTAAATAAATTGATGCCATTTTCGTATGTGACTTAAAAAAACGGAAAGAGCAGCGGCATAATAGCCAAAATCCTACAGATTGAAGATATATGAAGCTACGAAAAATACGGTTGAAAGAAAAACATTGTTCGAAGTTGGCAGAAGGGAAGGAGTGATAGAGAGGGTGGGGAAAGAAGAGTAAGTAAACGCTGACCACTCAGTGTGAACTTCATTTATGTGGGAAATAGGGCAAAATAAATTTTTCTAAAATAGAAGGCGAACCACGGGCTCAAGGAGAATTTTACATCGCTACCACGGTCTCTACACAGTGAATAATTATGATAATTATATGTGAGTAAAGATAAGCCAGCTGCATTACTCCTCAAGTTTTAATTACCTCCACCTCTGCTCCTCCAGCGCGTCGTTGCTGACAACTATTCAAGCGATCGAAGTAGCCAAACTATTACTTGAGCTGTTTACGGTAGCAGCTCCATAGTTTCGAAAATAAAATGAAATGCAACGGATTACCTTCTGCGGCATACAAATGATTCTCGTAAATCTTTTTATGGGGCATGAGCAAGTTGGATCCAAACGAGTAAGCAAACAGGATCTATGAAATGTATAATCAACATATGACCGTATATTCATGATAGAAGCAGGCAGCAGGCGCATATCGTGCTAATCTAGTCCAGTTCCCTGCATAACAGCGGTGAAAAACCGCCAGCCCCATCTTGCGAACGCTGAAGATGTTGCAATGTTCACGGAGTGTTTTTTGACGATACAAAAAGGCCATACAAAGAACGGTGGAATCAGGTCAGCGAAGCGAAGAAGACACGCCAAAGTCGACGCGCGGAGGCGCGAAAAAGCCAATCTGCAACTTTCTCGACAGCGCAGCACCGTCAGATGAAGTGCGCGAGTCGCGAACGACGAGAACAGCGAACGCCCAACGAATCGACCCAAATTGTTTGATGGTCAATTGACCGCGCTCTTGACTTTTATGAAGATATAGAAATGAATTGCGACATCTTCTAAGAGTGGAAAACACACACTCAAGCAGCGAAATTTGACGCAAAACAAAACCTAACCTAAGAAAAAGAAGTTTGAAGAAAAGGTGTAAGATTGACTGTGGGAAAATGAATCAACAGCTGGTTCGGCAACAAGTTCTACATATGTGCTCTTCATTTTCATGCTACGTTGAGAAAGCATATACAGAACAGGAACACTCAGTAGAAAAAGCAGTAGAAGAATGTATTCTCAACAGTAGTAACCACTTTGCACTAACAATATGCAGCAGGATGGGAACATATCTTTACTCAGCCAGCACGCAATCGACTCACTGAAAAAGTTTCAGAGAATAAACAAGATCTAGAGAATTGAACAATGAGAGGTAGATTGTTACCGAATTAAAAAGAATACAGCCCTGTCTGCAGATTAGCAAGCCAGGACGATACTGGATTTCGCCAAGTGGTGTAAAAAATCGAAAATTCTGGAAAGGTACATTACAACTTTGTATAGCTAGCGATTAGACGCAACCATGACTAAATGCTTCATTTCTTGAGCGATAAAAATGATAGATTCTATAAGAGATAGATGTAAAAATGTAATTGCGTATAACTTTCTCTGAAATGCATTTATCAATAGGTTTTGAGAATGAAATAAAAAAATGAAGTCGAAAATTCAAATTTTTTTCATCTATCTCAATGTTCTATCCACTATATCTGACAATCAAGCCTCTAAGTGCCACATATGTAACTTCAGATTCTCCTAACTCGGCTTTTCAGCTCTCATCCATAGGTTAAAGCTGCGGCTTAGTGGTGATACAGACCAATCTGACCACTTGCCATAAAAGAAACTCTGACTTTTGGATTTCACTTTTTTTGCTCCAAAAAAGTAGACTAACTGGAACTAAAAAGGCACACACTACAAAAAATTGAGAGGTCAAAGTCTCATTTGGTGAGTAGTTCAAACATATAGATACTGGAGATGAAATCAAGAAAGCACTGAAAAAGTGAAAGTAGGCGACGAAAGTAAATCTGAGCCAATCCATCTACAGTTGCAGCGGTGGAATTTGTCCAAAACTGCGGCATTGTCGGGATTCGCGGGATTGTCGGGATTCGCGGGTTTTGCGGGATTCGCGACTTCGCGGGATTTGCGGGATAAGCGGGATTTAGCCATAACTTCTTTTAAAATAGCTTTATTAGTAATCTGAGTGAAGATTTGGCTTCAGCTTGATGAGACGAATCTTTTGATATACGGTATGTCCGTAGTTCATAGTGACGGGGTAGACATACAATGATACCTTGTTGTTTTCTACGTTAAGGCTTTTGTGAACATTCATCACAGTGTAAATCGCGTATAGGAGGTTCCGGTACGAAGCTCTCGTTATCGAAAACTATCGCGAAAAATTGGGCAGTTTTTATCTACCCTTATCGCTGATATAAGCATTTTATCATTTATCACTGATAATAACACATTTTTGGATCATTTTTTGCATATGGTAAGGAAAGTACTGTAGGAAAAGCTGTGTGAATTTCTATCGCTCTTTCTCTCATTATAAGTGATCTACAGGCTTTTCTAGTTCTATTGCTCGGTGCAATTGGTAGATCCCTCGCTGCAGCAATCGATCGATTTTTCATCGGCACATGCCATTGCTGCCAATTCTTACCTAGATTGGCATTTTTGCTTCAACTCGCTTCCGCCGAAGCCTGGCCTGAAATTCTGTACCTATATGGAAGATGAACGTGGAAATCGACCGCATGAATTTAAGCCATTCTTATCTGTCTTTGTCATTGATATCATCATTTTATCATTTATCACTGACGACAAAAAATTGGATCATTTTTGATATACAATAAGAAATGTACTTTAGAAAACGCTGTGTGAGTTTTTATCGCTCTATCTCTTATAGTACAAAACCACTCACAGGCAAAATTTCCGGGAATTCCGCGAAATTCATGTGAATCACGCAAATTACGCAAGGCCATAATTTTTTTCCGAATGAGTATATTCAAAATCCGAAAACAACGTTGTATTCAGCTCGTCAAGGCAAATCTTTTGATATACGATTGTCTCCAATATCTTGTTTTCAATAATCTTGAATTTGCATGCCGACGCCTCTTCGCATGGGTGTAACGCAACAAGCATCACACACAGGAGACTGCCATGGGCACCGTTCGATAGTAGTCTTTCACTAGATTATCGTGCGCTAAACAGCAGCCGAAGACTCCCTTTCAAAAGAGATAGAAGAGCTGATAAACTCTGGAAAAATTAAGCTGTTCCAAGTTTTACTAGCCGTAACTTTCCTTAGAATGAACATTTTCGAAATCAGAAAGCAGATTTGTGTTCATCTTGTCAAGTCGAATCTTACTGTATACAGCATGTTCTTGAAGTTCCGTTTTCAATTTTTTCAAAATCTTCTGCGCGCGTATATTCACAAGGTCGCAACGCAGCGCACATCAAACATAAAAGACTCTATTAAGCACTGTTAGATTGCGCTGCTTCCGCAGATTATCGAGCGCTAAGAAGCAACCGGAGAATCTTTTTGAGAAAAGATAGAAGAGCTGGTGAATTCTGGAAAATCGTGTTGTCTCAAATTTTGCCCACAGTGACCCTAAAATGAGAAGCTCTACTGCTAAGCAGATGTGATTTTCGTAATAGCGGGTCAGATAACCTCTATGAGCAAGTTTTCAAAGAAATTCAGGTGATTCGATTTTTTCTCGTTCTACGTCCTGAAGCTCGCCGATGGGTTTTGGTCAAAATGTCGATGACCTTGGATTGTAAAGAAACTTCGCCCAAAGAGGTTTTCGAACACGCTGTTTACGAAAATAGTGGTCTTTGAAGAAGACAGGGTCTTTTTGTAGAGATATTGTGAGGTGACTGTAACTGAGTCACGAAAGTTCGTAAATTTGCCTGCACTTTTCGCGAATTTGTCAGAAAGCTAGCCTGCTTGCTTTTCCAAGTCAAAATCACTGGGAACTGTGCTATCAAAAGGTGCATGCTCAGGCTCCAGTCTATAAAGTTCGCCGAGTTACGAGCCTACGAAAAGACGTCCTCATAATTTTCGCTCAAAATGTAAAAATCGCGTATTTCGTCGAAATTCCGCCCTCAGTGGTTGTATGGCATACTGATCAAATCTGTTCACATTGGTTAATGGTCTTAATGTGCTGGATTTGGAAATTAGGTAGATCTGAGCTCAATGTCGTAGATTATCCAAATAATCTACAACCTT